AGGGCTGGGTGGGATGCGGGGCATAAGAACGGCTTCGGAAATCGTGTGCGACCCACACGGGCTGGCTTTTGGTGTGATATTTCTCCGTGGAGCCCTGCAAAGCTCTACTCCTCACTATCGTGGTCTGCCGTTACCTACCTTATACTCCTGCTTCTCCCTTCATAGTGTTAGAGCTTTAATAAAGGGGCAGTCTCTTGAGGCTGTCTTTTCTCCTTTGTTCTGGCTGTTCACTGTACGATATATGCAAATACTCCTCGTAATTGCTTTTGCAAGAACAGTAGGTTTTAAGCTAATTGCGCGCACTTTCAGGTTTTTTATCCCCCAAGTGGGGGTTGCAAAGCCTCAAAAACAACATCAAGGTGGGAAGAGCATTTTGCAGTGAAGCACGCTGCCTCCCTGCATGGCACTCTTTATGCAGCCAGAGTGGCTCCGCAGGCCCTGTTTACATCCCATGCTGTCTTCAGGCCTTCCCAGAGCAGTTTGTTTGTACCAAAATGAGCGCTCGGGTCTGTTCTGGGCCTTATCCGCGCTGTGAGCAGGCACTGGCACAGACCTGTGTGCTGGGGGCAGATAAAGTGGAGGACGGGAGTGACGCTTGTGAAGGGTGTTAGCAAGATTAGGGCTGAGGTCAGGAGCCATGAGTCAGAATTTTGTGTGTGGGCTTGCTTTGCTCCTTTTTTTATTTTAAACTGCCTTTTTCTGTTTAGTTGCATGTTGTGATCGGGAATCAACATGAACTATAATGCATCCTTTTCTCTAGTCTGCTTTTAACCCCAGTGGAGAGGGTTAGTGGTGCCTTTTCTGGATGCGAATACCTCCTATAAGTGCAGTGCTGGGGAGTCTGCAATGTCCTCTGTTGACATCAGCAGTTCACGTCTCCTCTGTGTGCTCTCAGTTGTGTGCAGTGTTAGTACATTTACTGTCTTCATAAGCTACCAAGCCCTAAGTTAGTGGGCTGGGTTCTGTCTCCAATTGCTTCGCTACTAATTAATAAGAGGTGTTTGAATTACTTAAATGTCAGTGATTTAAATGTATCCCAAAGCATATTGGTACTTGTTTTAGTCTTGTGGTTTCAGTTTGTTTTGTTGTTAGGAGGAAAAAAAGTTCCAACGTGGTGTAACAGACAAAACACACCATAACACTTCAGCTGTGGAGCTCTCAGGTTCATGTTTTCATAAAATGTTTGGTATTTACCTTATTTACAAAAAGCATGGTGAGTTTCTGGCAAATTCCATCACAGCAAAGATTATATTAAAGGGTTTATCAAATAGTGAAAGTAGTGACTTTAAATTTCTTGACAATTTTTGCATGTCTGTGTCTACATATGCCTCTCTTAAATTCTAGCTTGGGTCCAAAGCCTTGGAAGGGGAGAAATGAGTCTTGGAATTTCACATTAGGCAGTGTCTGTTTACACTGTCCTTCCAAAACGGAGATTCATTTATGGATGAGATTCTTTGATGGAGTTTTATCTAGAAGCCAGGTCATCTTGGTGTCATTCTAAGACGTCAGGTCAGTAATAATTGTTCAGTCCCAGTCTCTGAGAGTGCCGTCCAGCACTGCTGGAGCTGCTGGTGTCAGCCCAGCTTTGGTACGGTACCTGCCTGTCCTGCTGTTGCCTTTGAAGGAGCAGTGGCCTAGAAGTGTCAGGACATCCGTTGTGGGTTTTCACCCTGAATTTATCTTTGAGCGATTGTAGTGATTCAGAGGAATGGCTGGAGCTCTGAAGAGTTTTCCTGTTGGAAGAGCAGCCTCTCAGGACCTAGTCCTTATCCACGCCTGCCCTTACATTCACAGGCACAGCTTTCCGAAAGGCAGTCACCAGCTTCTACAGCCCCACAGTATGACTTGGTTGGACCAGCCTTTCCTGCTTTCTCTTTTTTTTTTTCCTTTTTTTTCTTTTTTTTTTTCGTTTGAGTCATTCCTGGAATCATCTGGGAGCTGATTACTGAGTATGCCTGCTTCATTTCTAGGGCCTGTCATCTAAGGGCAACCACTTTGGGAAAATCTCCTTTTATTCAAGCTTTTATCTTGTCTGTTTTTATACTTCGTCTGCCTCATGTTGACTTTCATACACATTGTGTAGATTTGGACTTTCTCCCCTTCTGAGTGTGAAGGAAGCTCTTGGTGTTCATCTGGGAAGCATTGCTCTTGCCATTTAAGACACTCTGGGATTACCATGATATTTTTAAAAGTTAGAGGCCAAGTAGAAGTCTTTTGGCTGCACACTCATAATATATTCACCCTTTTTTAAAGACCACACAAGCTTCATTAATAAAAGGAGCTTGCTGTTAGAACCACCTCAGCTGGGAGTCCTGCATCTGAACTGAGGGTTATCAGGGGACTCTGCTCGAAGAACTTTGCACCATTGCTGCTCTTTTGCCAGTGCATGAGGCCCACCATGGTACTTTCACCAGGTACTGCAGACATCTGCTGCACTGTATTTTGGTCATTTTTCTGTCTCCTGGGAAATACAAAATGTAAAGGCAAAACAGAAAGTTCTGATTTGCTTTTGTTCAAATATATGCGTTTGAGAGCTACATCTTCAGAAGAGTTCAAGAGCAGAAGCAGCATTATTAAAGGAAAGGGAAAAGGTAGAGTTTACTATTATTAATAAAAATAATTTTAAAAAATCTTAAAAGTCAGTGTGAGAAGACAGTGTTTTACGTACTCTGCCCAGGACAAACCGGTTGTCGATCTCAGCGGAGGATACAGTTGACTCTCCAGAATGGCATTTCTGGGAGGCGTTTGCATCCGGAGAAGGCACCTCATCAGAATCGTCCTGAAGCGATGCATCTTTTTTGCAGATTCTGTTTTTCTCAGGTTTTTGTCTGTGGAGGAATATGATTGTAGGTAATGCAGGAATCAGCAGTGCCGAATCAAGTATGCTGGTTTTCAAACCCAGTTTCTTTTCTCTTCCACAGTCGGAATAACCAAGGTACTTAGGAATTCTGTGTCAAACCCTTGACCACCCCCCTTGATTTTAGCTCAGTTGTGTAAATGCTTTTCTGGCATCAGTGCTGGTTTATGCAGTTCCCAGCTCTGGCTGTTCTCTTCCTGTGCCTGCTCCTCCAGCTGCCTGGTGTAGCTGTTTGGGGGGCTCTGGATGAACTATCAGGACACTTATCTGGGTTAAAATAGTCTCTTTTGGATAGGATCCTGCGTAACTTGTGTGAGTTGCTCGATCTGGTTCACGTGTAGTTTCACAGCTGTAATTGAGCAACTGGAAGGAAGGTACTGGAGTAGGAGTGAGGGTGAGGAGATGGGGTCTACTTGAGCCATTACTTCCTCTGAAAGAATTGGACGTGTAACTGTGTCTTGAAAAATGGAGGTGATGGATCTGGGCAGCAGGCAGTGCTTGGTCATTTGATGGCATTAAGATGCGGGATATTTTGGCTTTCTTATATGCATTGTTTTGATGTCGTAACCCCAAAGCGTATGGAAAAAATACTTTATGGTAGGAATGTTGTGCTGATTAGTTGGTACATTTTTGCAGGCATATTGTTACTTTGTATTTTAGTTATAATTTCAAGCAGTTTTCCAGCTACCAATGTGAGATCTAGTGACCTAAAATGCTGTACCACAGCCCAGGAAACTTGTGTTCTCATCTTTGCCAGTTTCTGACGTGGGCACGTCAGCTGGTGTCCTGCAGCGCTCTGGAGGAGTAGCTCCTGGGGAAAATACTCACCGTTTTCTTATATAAGGGAAATCGGTTGAAAGGAAACACCAAAGGTGTTTATCATACTTTTGATTATCTGCATCTATGTGAAGATTAAATATGGGAACATCTGCACATAAGTTATCTATAGAGTGATCTTTTGACAGGCTGACAATGTGTTTCTTTGTCCTGCGTTATCTGGAATATGCTCTGGATTGTCTGTTGAATTTGGCTTGATTTGGTTTAGACATATGTGGGAATTTGCACTTGCTTATTTGCTCTCCGTCTTTCTCTCTTATTTTTGTGTGATGGACAGTAGTGATTTCTTGTTACGCCGTCTCCATGCTACATTAGCAAGCATATTGACTGTGTTGGGTATTATTTTCAGGCACGTGGCCATGGAGGGTACGATTCTGATTTTAGTGATGACGAGAATGAAGAGAAGTCTGGGCAAAAGCCGAAAAGGTAATGTAGTACAGAATTAGCACTTTGCGTTATGTATTTTGTGCAAACGGCCCGTTGCTGTGCGTAGAAGGTGATGCTGTGGTGTGTGAAGTCTGGTGTTGAAATATCTTTTGAAAAGTCAATCTCTTTGATTCCTGTATCTCCTCACGCCAAGCTCGCCAAAGCGTGTTGTCTCCCAGGGACAGCTGATTAAGATCCATTCTGCCACGTCCATCTGGTGTCTCTGTGCCCCTCAGTTCTCGGAGCAGAGCGTTCCGTTTTTCCGAGCATTCGCATCAACTGCTGGGGTTTGGCTGCGCTGTTCACTTCACTGTGATCCATCAGGACGTGGAGAACTGCGAAGACAGCAAGGCAGAAAAGGCCAAGTGGCAGCAGGCTTTGTAGATTAAAAAACACCTGCTTGGAGGAAGTGGAGAACTGGTGCTACTTGGTTATTATTTAATTTGTGAAGAGACCTGGGAATTGGTGAATGGTGGTGTACTCAGCCCTTGAAATGCAACTACGTATCTCTTATGTGAGATCTCCTTTGCCAGTTCTCTCAGTGGTTGACACAACTGGTGGCCTTGCATTTGTAGTCCGATTTCATTATATTATTAAGATTTTTATTTTATTTCTTTATGTATTTATTCTGGTTTTGCACCACAGTCCTTTGACACTTTCTGTACCATAGTGAACATTTTGTCTGCATTGGGCATGCATTTTTCTTAACCTTTTCGCAGAATCACAGAATCCCAGAACGTGAGGGATTGGAAGGGACCTCCAAAGCTCATCCAGTCCAACCCCCCTGCCGGAGCAGGAACACCCAGATGAGGTTACACAGGAAGGCGTCCAGGCGGGTTTTGAATGTCTGCAGAGAAGGAGACTCCACAACCTCTCTGGGCAGCCTGGGCCAGTGCTCTGTCACCCTCACTGAGAAGAAGTTTCTTCTCCAATTGAAGTGGAACCTCCTGTGTTCCAGTTTGTGTCCGTTACCCCTTGTCCTATCATTGTTTGTCCCCGAGAAGAGCCTGGCTCCATCCTCGTGACACTCACCCTTTAAATATTTATAAACATGAAGGAGGTCTCCCCTCAGTCTCCTCTTCTGCAAACTAAAGAGCCCCAGCTCCCTCAGCCACTCCTTATAAGGGAGATGCTCCACTCCCTTGATCATCTTTGTAGCCCTATGCTGGACTCTCTCCAGCAGTTCCCTGTCCTTCTTGAACTGAGGGGCCCAGAACTGGACACAATATTCCAGATGTGGTCTCACCAGGGCAGAGTAGAGGGGGAGGACAACCTTTTCCTTTCTCTCCCTTGCTCAAATAAAGTCTATTAATGGACTTTATTTCAGAAGGCTCTCTGGAAGCTTTCCTAGGATTCTTGTGTGTTTTCTTTCATAGTAAAATTGAAAGAAGAGGTTTTGTAGTGTCTGACCACATTCTGGGACAGAAAAAAAGATCATGTTTTAGTCATTGGGATAGTGGCAGGTGTTGTGCTGTTCCGTTTATTTTGTAAGTGTAGCTGTTCCATTGAAACAGTGACTGATTTTGTTCACTTTTCATTTTCTCTAAAAGACCATTACACATTACACCTTTCCACTTTCTAAGTGGAATATTACCTAACCATCAGGAGACTTTAAAAAACATCACCATTACCCTTGTTCTGGCACACTACTGCTGATTCCCAGTGGGGCTCTTATGTGGGTTCACTGTGTATGTACATGTCCTTTTCTTGCTCTGTGATATTTATTTTCACTTTATGGAAAATAGTAGTCTTAGTTTTTTCCATATTGCTGCTTTATGGAGTCTTCTTATGGGAATTTTACATCTTCAGATCCTTTCGAGCAGATGATGCCCCTAGTTCCTACAGTCCTATATTCCATAGCTTGACATATAAATTCCCTGGCTTGCTTTCTACAGTTCTCTGACTTCCATTCTTTCTGCCAGCTATAAGTATGGAAAATCTTCTCTTTACCTCTGTTGAGGAATGAAACTAACCAAATATATTTGACTAGCTAAAGTGCATCACTTTATATTTAACTTTTTATTACTTCACTGAGTTCTGAAAGTATTTTTAGCTGCCCACTGACAAGTATGGCTCACAACACAGTCCTTAAATTTTAAATTAGTGATTCTAGTGATTACACTGTGAGAGGCAGAGTTGTTTAATGAAGTGTTGAGACATTTGCATGAAAGGCTGGGATAAGGTTACTAGCAATCACTCCTATTCAGTGAACGTACTGTCCTTCCTGCTCTTACTTGGCTGTGTAGCTGAGATTTATAGAGGGTTTTAAACTGAGGAATCTCCAGCGTATTTTCATTGTGGCTCTATAGTGATAATGTTGATAAAAATAAATATTACAAATTGCTGCTTTAAGCAGTTTTCTCTAAACGTTAGCTGTAAGCAAATGCCTTTCCGATTTTGTTCTGCAAATGAAGTCAAGTCTAAGCTGATGCTTGTTCTGACGTTTGGTTTTATTCATGTAGAAGCTAGCAGTACAACAGTTTATCTTACTGAAGTTAGTGCGAAATTTGGCATATGGAAATTTTGTAGCTTATGAAGAGTTCTTGACTAACTTTTCTTCCTTTCCCCCCCGGCCTTTAGTGTGAAGGAAGACAGCCTTCTGGTGAAGCCATTCCAAAAAGCGAAACAAGGCAATGTGGTTCACAGACAATTTGCAGCTGAAGAATGGGACAGGTATCTTTTATCTATTTCTTTTGTGAGGTGTTTTTCCCTAATGTAAAGATAGCTCTCACTGAAACCATATTTGTTATCGACAGGGAAGAAGCAAGGAAAAGAAGATTTCACTTGATATCGATGGATGCCGTATCCTTCTATCTAACTTGGGGCACAGGTTATCCGTTATGGTGAAGTACTGGGTTTTCTCAGTTAGCAGCAGTTGATGGTTGACCAGGTACTGAGTCGTACTTCAGATCAGCTTCTTTTTGTTACTGAGATGTTTTTGAGAATGCCTCTACTCAGTAGGGGTACTTCCAGATTCTTCCTGTATGCTCATTTGTCCGGTTTGGGACAAAATTATTATGCAGTGAATTTTATTTAGACTGGTACAAAGACGTTTTGCTCTTTCAGTTGGGTTTATACAGACTATAATTCTACATGTGGCTGCTATTTTCAGTGGACAAATACATTTCTACTGGAAATTTAAGAGCGCGTTATTTAATTCAAAAGGCTGTTCGTAACAGCCTTGTCTCCAGTAATAACTTCTACAGGTGCTGTAATGCAAGCCTGTTTAATATCATGTGCAGTATTATTTGAGGGTTTTTAAAAATATCTTAATCATATTTCATGCGTAATTGGTAACTATTTTAATAACTACTGCCTTACTTAGATTACAGCCTTTCTCCTTTTATTTAGTTTTCACCTGGGGCAGTCATTACATATCTTGACTGTCTATGAAATACCATCAGTTCCTTGTTTGTTTAAATAGCTGTTCTTCAGCAGTACAGTTAATAAATAGGAAAGTAAAGACTAATTAAATATGGAAAGACTTAACTTAAATCTGGAAACTCCAGTGAACAGAAAATAACTTGTCCTAACCTGCTTAAAATCTGTCCAGGCACTACATAAACCATTGTGTGCCTGTCAAGGAGGCATATCTTAATCAGTCCCACTGATATTGTAGAGTATCATTAGCCACAGAAAAGCCTGGATAGTCTGGAAGGAGTACAAATCTCGTTGTGTAGAGACTTTTATGAGTTTCTGCTAATGTTTTTGAGTGGTTCCTATTTAAACCTTTACTGTGATGCAATTTTAATGCCTAGTAACTGACATGACAGCACAAAATAGTATATTGTGTTAAACGTGTTTAATTGTGCCAGTTAAAACCTTCTGGGCTTGCTTCTCTGTCCCTTCTCTTTGTGATGGAAAGAAAAAAAAACCTAGAAACCAAATACATTAACTTCTGGGGGGCCTTTGGAAAATAATGTCTCAATAAAATTCTAATACAGGTGTTGTGGTTTAGGCCCAGTGCATAACTGAGCACCACGATGCCCCAGAAAGGGCTAGTCAAAATAAGGACGGGAGGGCTTCTTCTCAGCACTTGAAAAGGTCACAGGCAAAAGACAGACTCATCATAAGGAATAAAAACAAAACAACTTTAATTTGTTACCAACATCCGAGTAGAACAATGGGAGATGCAACCAGATCTTAAAGTCAGACACCTTCCCCCCACCCCTCCCTTCTTCTCTCCGTACCCCCCTGTCTCCCCGCCTTTGCCTTGAGGCGCAGAGGGATGGAAGTGGGGGTTGCAGTCGGTTCATGCCTTGTGCTCCTTGGGAGTAGAAGGACTCTGCCCAGTCTCTCTCTCTCTGCTTCCACGTGGCCCCCTTTCCATAGGGTAAAAAGTCCTCAGAAGTCCAATGCGGGTCTGCCCACAGCTGCAGTTTCCCTCACACACGAAACTGCTTCAGCTCAAGTCCACAGGACTCCAGTCTGGGTCTGCCCCTGGTCACAGCTCCCTCACACACGAACTGCTCCAGCACACACTGCCCGCAGTCACGGCTTCTTTAGGGGGAGGCCCCGGTGAACTCTACAGACTGCAGGCAGTCGACCTGGCTCTCGCCATGGGTTGCAAAAAGGGAACCTGGGCTCTGCATCCTCTTCCTCCCTCTCCTTTCTTTCCTTCAACCAACCTTGGTGTTCTTCAAAGTTGTTCTCCTTGGGCCCCACTCCTTTCTCCGCTGCAGGTCTCTTCTGGTGGTCCTGAAGAGTTCCCAGCTCTCTCTCTTTTTTCGGGCTGGAGCTGCAGCGAGGCTTAAGATTAAGTTGGGGTTGGGGTTGGGTCCGCACCACCCGCACCTGGGGCCCCACTGGTCAGGGCCGGTGCCAGAGAGAGGACAAGCATCCCTGCAGCCCCCTTAAATACCTGAATTCGCAGGGATGCTGATTGGCTTGGCCCTGGTCACAGGTGGGTCTGACAAAGGAAAAGGGGGAGCTTTTCAGGTGGCTTCTTAAAGGGCCATCTCCACAGCTCTTCCCCCGTTACCAAAGACAACCAAAAAAAACCCCTCACAGAAAACCCAGTACATACATGTCAAAATAGTAAATTGAAATAAATCATTCACACCAACGCAGTAGTTGCCAGAATATGTACCAGGAGATAATGTATTTCCTAATTTGCTGCCTCAGAAGCACCATACAAGTTAATTGAAAATACTTTTAAGTAGCCATATAAAATGTTTTTATTTGAGAAGATGCTTATTTTCTGAATAAGTAATTACATATCTTTGCTCAAATTATGGTACAAAATGTGTTTCAAATAATATCTCTAAGGCTGAATTGTTCTAAGAGAGGCATTATCTATTTTCCTGTGATTGTCATTTCAAAACTGAAGCAGATAACTTTTATTTGTGTGTTGACAGTAAAATGTAAATAAAAGGCTCCATTTTAGTAGCCAGACTGTTGTTATAATATGAAAACACAAACCTGTTTGAAACCAAAACTGCAGTACTAAGAAGCTGTTTCTTAGATTACAGCTGAAAAATGAACCCAGTTTCTATGTGTACACATACAGAGCATCTTTGATAAAGGAAGACAATTTTATAAAGATCTGGCAGCTGAATGAGGTTTTAAAGAAGAACTTGTCTTAAATTCCTGTAATTGGAAAGTAGCTTTTATGAGAGCTTATTAAGTAAAACTTGCTAAGTAATTCCTTTCTTTCTGGAAATTACTGAACTGTTTTTGAGGAAAATACTCAGTTCTTTTAAGTATATAAGAAGTTTTAGGTTTTTTTTAGTTTTAAACTATGGTAAAATAAAAGAAGGTAAGTCCTGAAATGATCCTTAATTGCTTTATTCAGTATGAAAGACATAAGAAATTGGTGCGTGACTACATTTTGTACTACGGTGGCAAAATAGAGGATTTTCGACGTTCTGGGTAAGAACCATTAGCAGTCTTTCCCCTCATGCCCCCGAGGTTCCCATGTCAGGTAGAGCCTTCACATACGTAATATGTAAAAGTACATATTACAGGTTTGGGGGGAAAACGGGTTGTGGCTATGTGTCAAATTACTGAACACTTTGGTCACAAGTGGTAACTACAGTCACTGTAAATCTAAAAACCACAGAATTACCTTGTTTCGTTTTGCACCATTGTTTTTATGTAAGAAATTACCACGAGCTCTGAATTGTTCTTGTTTAGTTATGTAAAAGGAAAATGACAGGGGAGTATTAATTGAGGGTACATTGAGAAATATCTGGCAGTACCTTCAGAATAACAATCTGAAGTACTTTTGAAATGTGCAGAATTGCTGTCCATTGTCCAGAATAATGATGACCTTTAGAGCTATCTATAACTGCCTGCTAACATTACTGTCTTCAGTCACAAGTATAAGAAGTATTTTCAGACAGGATCAAGTCCTCCACGGTTTCAGTGGCCGTTTTCCACTGTGAATTTTTCACCTGGGAACAGGTATGTCAGGGAACACATTTTTTGATAGTTTCATTCCATAGCAATATATTCCTTTGTAAGGGGAGGTGGAGATCACAACTATCAAATGTGGATTATTGTTTGACTGACTTTTCATTTTAACGTTACATTGTCCTGAAAGAAATGTCTCCTTTTATAGAGCAAATGACAAGACGGATCTCGATGTCATCAGAGAAAACCATAGATTCCTGTGGAACGAAGATGATGAGGCAGACATGAATTGGTACCTGGAACTATTATAGAACGTGTTATTTTTAGATCACTTGTACTAAATTTGTGGTGTCCCCTACCAATTAAGAATTACTGTGCATACTTAGTGATCATTCTTTGATCTTTAGTGCATTTAGAAACAACACTTTTAGAAGGTCTTTCATACTGTGATATTGCTCAGTGGCAAAATGAATTGATGAGAGAAAGAATTAAGAAATACTTGTGCATTCTCTGAGCTCCGTATGACTGTTCTGAAATCTCTGAAGGAAGCCTATTTTGAAAAGATACTGTTCCATTTGTTCTGTGGATAGTTCTGTAGCTAGTTCTTTTAGCTGTGTTTTCCCAGCCTTATGGAAATTACCCCTTAGCTCAACGAGTGTACTTGTGTTGCATTTGAAACCGTGCAACTTGTGTTCTCCAGATGAAACAACGTGTCTTTGTCTTGCTAATGTCACTGCAATGTCAAATGAATTGTATTGTGTTCTGTATTTAATAAAATTAGTACTTTTTGTTATAGGGAGAAGAGGCTTGCGAAGAAATATTATGATAAGTTATTCAAAGAATACTGTATAGGAGATCTCAGTAGATACAAAGAGAATAAGGTAAGTTTCATTATTGTAAACCATCTTGGTTTGAAATCATACTATTTAAAAAATTGCCTTACGGCTGTGGATGCGTTGTGAAACCAGAGTGCTAGCACCCCTTCCCTAGGGAGCTGTGAGAGCCTGTCAAGTTACTTCATAAACAGCAGCAGTTTGAATCCAAGCGTTGTCACTGCCCCAGAAGTGTGCTTCTGTGGGAACAGCAGCATTTCTGTCGGATGGCGTTTGATGAAGAGGTACGTGGTGAGTAAGAAAGGCAGAAAACGCAGAGAGGTTAAGGAGAGAAGGCTAGAGAGCTTTGCCTGGAGAGAAGCACTAGATGAAGCCTAAAAATGTCCTGGGAATGTTACTGTTTAAAAAAAAAGCCTAAAAAGAGAGAGTTTTGTGCTTGAATGCTGGCAGAAGCAGTTTTGGAAATGTCTGTTCTTTTCTGTTTATGGAAACAGGGTTTGTATGTTCCTTGTAAATAAACAGAATTTCTTAAGAGAAACAGCCCAATTCCAGCACCAGTTTTTCTTCTTAACTGCAACAGCCTTTGTTGTTTCCAAGTTTTTTGACTAACCTCTCAGCCAAAAGAAACCCCACGTGAATTTTCTATTGTGATTTTGCAGAAAGTGTTGCTAAACTCAGATGTGTCTCCGTGTTGTTAGCATCTAGTACCAATCCAGCCCTGCAAGCAGTGTCTGTACAGAGTTCTTTGAAACGATAGTAATGAAAATGTTTGGAAGGACTGGGCTTAAACTCCAGTATTAGGCATAAAAGATGACAGCCTTCTAAAGAAAATTGGAACAGAAAAATGCAAAAATTAAATGAAAATTAAGAAAAAGTAAAATGCTGAAGAAGAAGTAAAACGCTGAAGATGTCTTCCCTCCTTTATTTTGAGTAACTTTGATTATATTTTCCTATGGCTGTTTCATATCCTTCGGTCTCTGTCCTACCACCCGAGCTGATTTTCCCTTGAGCATGCTTACCGATTTTGTTTCTTTCACTGCTGTGCCAAGTTTCCATACGCTGGCTCTCTTTTGTGGGAAACTGTTCTGCCTTGGTTTCCTTTTTCTTGTGTGTGTGTGTGTGTTGTGTGAACAGTGTTTCCCTGCCAGACTTCAAATGTGACTCTCCTAACTTTGAGGTCACTGTGAATTCCTGTTCATGCTCATAGTTCATTACCTGTGTTATTGGAATTGCCATGTCAGGGTAACTCTGCTGTATCATGTCATTTGTTCTCTTCTATTGGGTTGTGCTTTCTGCTCTCAGATATGTTCTGACCATGTGAGAGTCCTTTCTTAAAATTCTTAGAGAAAAAATGAGGTTTCTCTCAATTATCCATGCCCGTGTTTGGTACAGAAGGATGTCAAAGCAGGTTTTTTTTGTGTTTTTTTTTCTTGGAAGTCAGAAATAGGCTGCTGATCCCATTCACACCAATGGAATGCAGTCTGTGCTTTCAGATTTTTCCAGCCTTTTTTTCCCCTGCATTTCGTGGACCAGATGATCTTTCAAGGTCCCTTCCAACCTGCGCTCTTCTGTGATTCTATATCCTGGTAGGCGCTGTCAAAGTAAAGTTGTAGATCAGTTAAATATGTATATGTATAGAGAGAGACTTGCACATACATGCTCATCTGTCTTTTCACAACTGTAATTGTTTTGCTACTAGCTAAAATCTTCTAGGCAGCTAATTCTGCTAAAAACCTCTGCATACAGCTCAGATCTCATTTAGAACTTTTCTTCTGAGAAAAAAACCCACTGTTTTCCTAAGTACTTGATAATGATAAAGACTGGTTTCATGGGAGGGGCTCTCTTGAGGTCTGGAAAATTAGCAGAGCACCTTGTCAAAGACTGAAGCTCAAAACAAAGCAGTTTGGAAAAGCCGCAAGACTCATGAACTCCTGAGGCCACAGCCACGCTCCAGTTGCTGGCTCAGACTTTGCTCACGTATGCAGATACACACACACACACAGGGAGATGATTGGGACTTCCCTGGTCCTATGGCAGGCCCCTCTGTGCTCTCATCCTTAGAGAAACACGGGTGCTCTCCCATCCGGAGCTGGCTGTTGTCGTGGTTTAGGGCTGGGCCGGCCACTAAATCCTGGACAGACGCTCTCTGTTAACCCCTCTCCCCTCCCCAGAAGGGAAGAGAAAAGAGAATAAGGGAGAGAGACTTTACGGGTTGGAAAATAAACTAACAGATTTAATGAAACAATAATGCTAATACTGCAGAATAATATTGTAAATATGAAAATAATGAAATATATACAAATATGTACAAATATACACAAAACCAATATAAAATCGTCCCCCAATGATGAATACGTCACCAGAGGCTCTGCAGAGCCGGGCACTGGAAAAGTCCCAGACCAAACTCAGCAGCAGTGGGAGCTGATGCAGGACACACAAATCAGGATCAGCGGCAGATGAACCAGCAGGGTTCTGCTCAGGCCTGGGCCTCTGCAGGATCGAGACAGACGGAAGGGTCGAGATGGAAGGAACAGTGGAAAGGGCAAAAAGGCAAAAAAAGGGGACGAGACCCTCGTGATCCCTCGGCTTTTATCCCGAGTATGACGTGTGTGGGATGGAATACCTCGTTGGTCAGTTTTGGGTCTGCTTCTCCCCCTGTAGGCGCAGACACAGTACCCAGGATGAGACAGCTGACCTTGAGCTTATCTTCTGTTTGGGAAAACATGCTGCCAGTTTTCAGCAAGTTCAGTCACTTAAAAGAGACTGAGCTGAAAAGTAAGATCACTAAATAGAAAATTAGTTCTATTTAGCTCAAACGAGCACCCATGAAGACCACGCCAGCCTGGCCACCAGCTACAGAAAGTGGCCACAGAGGGTGTGTGGGTCTCCACCAGTGGCCTGGTTTGAGCTAAATAGAACTAATTTTCTATTGAGTGATTTTACTTTTCAGCACACCTGCACTCACCTCCGCTGCTGGCACTGCAGGCAAATGGGACCCTGTGACCCATGATCCCACTTTGCTTTATGTAGTTAGGACTCATATTTGTTTCCGTCTCTTTTAATGAGGAATGCCAAGGTGACCCTCTGGTGTGAGGCTGCTTAGAGACGCTGGAGGAGAGTGCTCTGACAGCTCTTGCTTGTGATGGGTCTGTTACTCCTTCCATTTTTCCTAGATCAGAATTTTGTAGGTCAAGGTTGTCTTTGAACCTTGAGCGCATCTTGTCTGCAAGCTTTGAGGCTGATAAATGACGGTCTGCATTGTCAGATAGTTTAGTTTTATTGTCAGTTTTGCAGTAAGAGTGGTCTGCATGTAAGTTTTCCTTTGCTATGCATCGGACTGGAAATGTTCTCTCTGTTGTCTTATTTTCCTAGAAAGGTTCTAATTTGCTGTCACCGTGCTTTGTTTTGTAGCTTAACAGACTGGAAACGTCTCCTATTTGCTAAGAAATGAAATGTGTCTGACACCTGGTCATTAGACAGAATACATTTTCTTCTTTTGTTTTTATTTCCAGATCATTTTCAGATTTCTAGGCCAACTTTTCTCCCACTTGGTAATGCTAATGTGTTCGTGTTTGTCATTGGTTTTTCAGCATGGAGGCTTTCCTGTGAAAAATAAAAATATTTAAAATATCTAGGGTATTTTTCCACAGTGTTGTATACATTCATACACTTCTTTTTCTTCTGAAAGAGGTGACTGTGGACATGTTAGTTATTGCTGGAGCCAATGCGTACTACGCAAGCAGTCCATATTTAATTTGGGTATTTTATTGTTTATGGACATTAAATGGTCTTTTACATTTTTAAGGCTATCATTTCTTATTCAGGTAGCCATTTGATACTCTTGCAAAGCATCTTTTGGAGCTGTCCTACTTGGTGTTAACTTGTAGAAGCAGCTCCTTTAGGATCTTGTTGAACTCATTTAACAGAGATGAGGCAGATAAATGCTGTCGGATGATGATGCCTTTGTGTTCCTTAGTATTGCAGGCTGACTATTCAAGAACCTGCCCTAATTTTTAACTTTCCTATGTAGTTTAATCTGTACCTGAGATTTTAGCTTAGTTAGAGGAATTAAATGGTATTTACTTTTATTTTGTTGTTTCTTCCTAGCCTTGGTAATTCCCTGTCATTTGCCATTAGTTGGTGGAAGAATGACTGACAGAAATGAGTGCAGATAAGAGCAACTTTTGTCCTAGAGGTACTGCAGGTGGTTCTGGCTCTCTTCTTTCTTCTATTTTGCATACTTTTCTTGGTATTACAGAAATACTCTGTAAGGATGTGATCTGATTTATAACCAGATTTGTGGAGTAGGCCAAGCACACCCTGATCCAGTCTTGGCAAACTGTCATCACACACGGTTTGATACCAGGACCTTCTCCAGTGGCTTTTTTTTTACCAGTGAAACCAGTAGGTGTGAATACGTTGTTCATTGTATAAGAACAGTTCGAAAATTACTGGACTGATTTAAAGAGGCAAATATTTTGTTGATGTACAAATTTTTAGTTTTCTTAGACATCTATGTAATATATTGACTTGGGGAGAATCAGTGCTGACAAAACATTTGGCTGCTGCTGTCTTCCTGCTCAGTTTTTTCATCTGTTATTAAGGCGGAAAGAATTTTTATGAGGGTATGGCACGTTCTTAAAAGCCAAAACTTTTGTTTCTCCTTTTTTTTCTGATGTTCTTTGGACTGCATACCACTTCGTGCATGAGAGCTCCATGCTGTTGCCCTTCAGATAAAGAATTACTATCGTTTATTTAAAAAGATCGATAACGTTATAGACCACACAGAGCAATAGATACCTGTACTTCTTACAGTGTTCATAATTCGATTAAAACATAGCAAATCAATCCAGTATAATTGCGGGATTTATATCATTGCATCTACAAAATGCACATTTGTGTGGATTCAGTCTATGAGTGCACCAGGAGAAGGTTTGTGTTGCAAGGGATGCGTTGGGACTTGGGTGCCAAAGACGGGCTTTGCAGCCTTTTTTGTAGCTCTTTATTCTTGTAACCCTTCTGCCCCCTTTTCCCTCCCCATCTTTTAACGTGAAGTTCGGGGTCTTCTGTGCTTTGCTTTCAGAGCAGCAATTTCATCTTCTTGTCATCCTGTGTTCATTAATTTTAAACGAAAATACAAGATAGCCCTTTTTGGAGAAGTCGTATGCCTCTGAGTTTTATGCCCTCCCTTCTACTTGTTAGCGAAAATAAAATTGTTTTTCCTGGACTGTTCTCGCTCCCTTCCATCTTCAGTCTTTTCACCAGGCTACTTGCCGTTTTGAGAGGATGAGGAAACATTTTATGGGAAACAAATACAGTAGATGGGTTTTCTACAGGAGGAGTTTCTAGGCAGTGTAAAGAGAAATACAAACTTCTTGTTGGCACGGTCATTTTCTTAGTTTTTAGGGTGGGATCCATTGCTCCGTGCTAATACGACTTTTCAGTATTCCAGTGATCTGTGTTTTCAGCGTGGACAAAATTGCAGTGAGGTATCTAGTAGAGTCGGTCTACCCTAATTTTCTATTTCTTTTGCTTGCTATGAAGCCTTTTAGAAAGTGTCTGTTCAGTGCCTCACAAACTTCTAACAGCATCTACTGCCATTTGAATTGCATGTGTAGATTGGAACCCTCCTGGTGGGCAGAGGCAGAGAGGTTTTTACTGAACAGAGAAAGAAGGTAAATTTTACTGGCTAGCATTGAATGGAGGAACCACGTGCAGGATCAGTCAACTGAAATGAGTCTTTGCATCACTGAATAAGTTGACTATTAATTAATTTTGGTTCTTGTCTTCACAGTTTGGATTTAGGTGGCGACATGAGAAAGAAGTAATTTCAGGAAAAGGTAATGCTGTCTTTCATTTTATGGTATGTTTCTCCTTGGTGCTTTTCTCGCTGCTTTTTGACACAATTTTGTTAGACAGTATTTGACAGTACCAGTAGGTTTATCAGGTAACAACGAACAATAAATCGACCTGACTTCTCACTTTGCTGTTCTATGGCACGTAGCCATTAGGGTGCACACTGATCTGCATACGTTAATTTAAGAGAACTCACGGTGTATTTTTACAAGGTCAGATTTGTAACAAACACCAGCATAATGCATTTGATAGCGTACAATTTCATGGATGTGTTTTTAGCTGCTTATGTCCAGTGGTTCTATGTTACCTCATTAGACTTTGATACCTTTAATAGAAGTCTCAATACTTTTCCTTAGGAAATAATTTTCCTGACAGTGTCTCCAATGCAGTTTTGCAGAATGTTAACTTTTGAATTAAAGCTCCATGTGTGATGCCTGGTTTAGGCTAAATTGGGTTTGGAAGCTCCGGTGGGAGTGGTTGTCGTGTCTCCCTGTTTCTAAATCAGTAGCTTATTCTGGCTGCTTCCGTGAGTGAGTGCTCGGGATGCGTTACTGGGACTTTTCGCAGCGGTCCCCGTTCTGTGGCCTAGGAACAGGGACTTTTTCAAGTAGCTGAGCAAGCAAGAAAACGATGTGAATGTATTGCAGCTCCTGTAAACATGAACAGTTTTCAGAAGTCATGCATGTACAGGAAAGTTGCATGGAATGATACTGTTGATCAGAACAGTTCTATAAAAAGGTCTGTTTATTACAATGTATTACAAGTTAGACACTTAAAAAATAGATATATTTCACAGCAGGAAGTGTGAACATTAATGGTGGTTTTGTTTAAGCCGTAAGGATTAAGGTTCCTAAAGGTAGTTGCAGTCATATGTTGCATTCAGCACTACGGACTATATTAACAGGTAGTTACATTTGATATAGTTACATGCTTTATTGAATGCTTTAAAAAGTTAATTAAAATTAAATGAGAAATGAGTAATTTATGAACAGTTATGTCTTCTTGGGGAAAAAAGAATTTAAAGCTGAATTACGCTTTTAGTATCTGGTACTCCGTATTTAAAACTGCAGGAGGAAGTGCAGAATTAGATGGTTTAAGCTTTTTGATGCAATCCGAGTGGAGAGCAGCAGTTGGAACATAAGCACTGATCAGTTGGATCTTTCACCGCTAAGGGGCGCAAGAATTCAGCCTTCTCTTCCAAATGCTCTTTTCTAGTGCGGTTTCAAATGACCGATTTTAAAAAGCTGTGAGTCTTCAATGTTTTTCTTTTGCCGTTTTTAAGTATAAATCAGTAATATAAATTGCTTTAATTAATTGTAATAAAGCATTGGTATCTAAGTGTCTGATAATTGCTATTACAAAAGGGAGAGTGTGACAGTAACAGTGGTGGTGAGAACCGCTGCTGGTGGACTCTACTGTGGTTTGGGGTATCTAGGTGAAGATGTTCCTGCTCACTGCAGGATGGTTGGACTGGATGATCTTTAAAGGTCCCTTCCAACCCAACACATCCTATGATTCTCTGGTTTTTCTTGCTGATTAAATTAGGTAACTGTCTACTTGATATGCTGATTTCTGTGTCTTCCGTCCTTAGACATCTAGTTGTGGGAAAAGTCATGTTTCAAGCAACTGAATAGTCTGGTCTCTAATTCCCTTTAATTTGGGTTCTCCCTATACTTGATAGGGATCATAATGATTTCTTTGCCAAAAAAAAAAAGTCTTTAATGCTTTTATGACATTCAGATATACTGGAGTGATAAATACTGCTGAAAAGGAAAACCTTCAGAAAGAGTGGGATTCTGTATTCAAGTCAAGATTTGAATATGTGTTGTAGGGATTGCAGTGTGAAAGGAGGGTAAGAGAAGCGTGGCTGTTTGTGTATGGCATGGAGTAGGGATCCACTGAAAAAAAACCACCATGATTTTAAGTGTTTAGATGATTGTAAATGCGTAAAGGCACAGAATTGTGGTGGTTTACACAGTCAAATTCTGGTTTACCTAAGAATTCATTGCTTACCGTAGCAATCTGAAGATACTGTTCTAACTGCGTTCTTAGGAACATCCAAAATGTTGAATATCCAAAATGGGCATTACGTATTGTCAGGAGCAGCTCATCATAAATAAAACTGATGTCTCTCTTCTCTCTCTGCCTGTTTTTCTGGTTTGGTTTTGGGATTTTTTTCAGAAGATGTGAAGTGAGGAGAGTCTGGTTAAGTTCAAGAAAGTTTTATAGATTTTATACTTCTTTATAACAGGTATAAACTATCTCTGATGACACAGGCTACTGATAGCCATACCTCATATAGGCTTAGACGTATTTAATGTATATTAATTTGAGATTATTTTTTAAAGGGAGTCTTTGGGTTTTTTTGGTTCAAGTGTTAGTGTTGCAAGTAGTTTTACACTGCAGAACTGAAGTATCTGAGGACACTGCCAATCCATTAGTTAGCAGCTTAAGGAGAATGTTCCGAGGTTAATCGTTCACCAGCAGTCCTGCTTGCAAGCCTATTAATACTCATCCTTACCACCAGCTCTGCATACCCATCCCTCTTCTGCAAAGGGAATGTGTCTATATCTTTATTACTGCACTATTGAGGACCCTGTGGCGTAAACGACGATTGTGAGCCAATTGTTCTAAAATTAGTGTTGTGTTTAACATAATAAAGTCAAGGAAGCTTTTAAAGCTGCTGTATATTTCCTCATAGAACTGGATTTCCCTTTCTTAAAATTGTTTATGGAAAGTCATTAGAATGCACATTGTATGTCCAGTATATCAGGTAAACTGGCAAGGCAGTGAGAACATGGGCATTTAATTTTGTATGTATATGATACTTTGGATCGTTTGGTGTCGTTAAGAGGCATGTCTGACTTGCACCTCCTGATCCATCAGCCTCTGCTAAGGAATCGTGTAAGATCTGGAGTGTATCCTAGTGACGTTTACTTCTTCAGAGTTCAGCATTAGGCTTATTATTTCATAATGTATACCTTCATCTGTACATTGCAGAACACAGTTCAAGTTATGTTCTTTCTTTGAAAAGATGCAGTATTAGGCATGTATGATTGATTGCTTTCTCTGTTATTGTTTCCTTAATCTAGATGTTACTTTTAATTTGGGCTTTTTTATTTGAAATAAATAGAAAACAAAAAGCAACAATTGAGCAAAACTGGACATAACAACCCCAGACCTGTGCTTTTTAATCGTTGAACCATGGTTTGCTGGTTTTGACCTCTTTACAGGCCAGTTTTCCTGTGGAAATAAGCACTGTGATGAGAAGGAAGGCCTGAAGAGCTGGGAGGTGAATTTTGGTTACGTTGAGCATGGTGAAAAGAGGAACGCACTTGTGAAATTGAGTAAGTCAGCTTTTTGAGTGCATTTACGCTTAAGAAGACAAGTATCTTGTGCTTTAAAAGCTGTTGAGTGAGACCCAACGGTAACAATACCAGTTCATGCAAAATGGAAAATTCTGAAGAGGAGATAGTTTTGTTAAATTAATTACAGGTAGTAAGATGGTCTTGATTTGGAGAGAACAGCTACTATCACTACGTATGACAAAGTTGTTACAGGTTGAGCACTTCATGCTGTGTAATTGATTGTGTCATAGAATTAGAATGACTGATCATAAGCTGTTTTGCACACAAGCATGTCGAGTTTTAACGGACAGTACTGCATTGCAAGGAGGGTTTCATCATTGCCATTGCTTCATCAGTTACATGGTTAGGAGTCCTTAGGGCTTTGGACCAGACAACTTCTTGCTCTACCTTCAGCTCTGCTGATTTTATTTTTAATACTTCTGTTTTCTTGCAAAAATTCTAACTTTACTGAAATCACTTCCTTTTTCAGTCGTGTCTCTTGGGTGGGATTTTCTTATGCAATGCGGTGTACGTTTTGATACGTTTACCAGATAATTAAACTCACCACAGTTTGCACAGTGGCCTTGTGTAAAACAAGCTAATGGTGTTTTTTCTTTTGTGCTCAAAACGCTCCGTGTGACAGCACCTGATCTCTGGCAATGCTCTAAGAGACTTGTGCATCTTCAGTATAATTGTAGAACAGTTTGGTCTGTCCACAGGGATCCGTAAAATGGGATATCTGTACATGACAGGCGCTGAAACGTTGCTAGGAAGAGTTGCTGCTGCAAAACCTGGGACCTTTCTCCTGGTTGAGTAAAATCCGGGTTTATACTGAAGACTTTTATCATGGCATTTTCCTCAACCCTGGCTGCAATTACACTGTAAATTTGTTTTGAAGGAAAAGCTACTGAAATTGGAAGATAGTGTTCCTTGTAGTTTTATATATGTATTAACAAGTTTTGTTAATTATGCGCACCAAATACATAGGTGTTATGTTCTCATTCTCTCTTTTTCAGGACTGTGTCCAGAATGTTCCTCCAAACTAAACTTTCATCATCGGTAATGAAATATTTTGAAAATGCGGGGGCTGAATTATGGAATTATTATATTATAAGCTATATATTACAGTTATGATGAACAACAACTTCAGCTAGATGATTAGGAGCTTGTGCTGAAATAGATTCTGTTCTGGAGTTCCTGTGGAGCCACTGGCTTGACAGTGTTGAGAATTAGATATTGTTGTGCTAATGAAAGTACAAAGTACCTCAGACCAGAAGAATCCCATCGCTAGCCCCACAGAAGTTTCCTTTGCTTAATTTCAGTGCAGTGATTATTTTTGTTTTCTGAAAGTTGATGCAAAACACTCTCTTTTATTTTCCCTCTTGCTGTGTTTAAGGGGTGGAATGCTTTTCCTTTTCTTAAAAATAGTGGGTTTATGTGTGAGTCAAGTGACTGTGCTTTGAAATTTTGAATTTGAGTATTTGTTCTTCTTTGAGAGTCACTTAGCAGAGAAAAATAGTGAATTTTGAATCTATAAAATATTTGCATTAAGGTTTGATTTGGTTTTTACTATTATCTGTAATCTTGCTGAATTCCACAACTATTGATACTGATTTTTTGTGATTTTCTGACTCTTGAAGAGGCATTAACTTAGTTGCGTGGCTCAGTAATTAAGGCATACAATTGCTGAGAATTGTATGAAAGGGGAGCCTTTGAGCTAGAAGATGATTTCTTTTTTAAGGTAACACAAGTCAAAGGTCTCTCTAGTTGGATATATCCAATAAAGTTAATCCATATTAAAAGTTAATTCATACTCAGTTTTATTAAAGCACTGCGTAGACACGTATTAAGAAGGAGAATTAAGTAACTGAGATTAGTTTGATTTGTCTTACTTTTTTTTGGAACTGAAATTGTAAAACCACTGGAATTCAGAGTAAGCATTATCAAGCTTTTCCCTTTGTCAGCTGTAGAGCAATACTTTGAAACAATTTTAGTGACTTAGTGCAAAGAAGCAGGGAAAAGTTAGCCTATATCCACAGGCTGTAAGCCTATGTAACAGAAGCTGAAAACAAAACACATGGGTTGTTGGTCTGCAGCAAGTTACAGAATCACAGAATCACAGAATGGCTCGGTTGGAAAAGCCCTCTGAGCTCATCACGTCCAACCGCTCCTGTCTACCCACTAAACCATATCCTTAAGTACCTCATCTACCCGCTCTTTAAACACATCCAGGGATGGTGACTCCACCACCTCCCTGGGCAGCCTGTTCCAGCCTCTGACGACCCTCTCGGTAAAGAACTTCCTCCTTATCTCTAACCTGAACCTCCCTTGGCACAGCTTGGTGCCGTTTCCCCTTGTTCTATCCCCCATCATCTGGGAGAAGAGACCAGCACCCACCTCTCCACAACCTCCCTTGAGGCAGTTGGAGGTGGTGATGAGGTCTCCCCTCAGCCTTCTCTTCTCCAGGCTAAACAAGCCCAGTTCCCTCAGCCGCTCCTCATCAGGCTTGTTCTCCAGAGCCCTCACCATCCTTGTGGCTCTTCTCTGAACACGCTCCAGAACCTCAACATCTTAGTTCAAGTTCTTAGGCTTGAGATTCCTCTGCCTCAGGTTTTGTCACTATCAAATATCAAAATTTATTTAAAAGCCTGTATTAACTGTGTTTTTCTCATTACATATATACAAAATTGTTTGCTAAAAGTAAAATAAGATTGTAATATCAATAAGAATTTGGAATGTTATGAAATTATTTTCTGTATTTAATCTTTGATTGTCAATTCCCTGGTTTTGTTGCCTGCATCGGGGTGATTTTAGCAGCTTTAGTGTTTCCTGTCCTTTGTCTTTAGCTACAGAACTCTAGTGTTTCTATAGCACTTTTCATTTTAACTCAGTTAATTTTTCTCAGTTTAACTGGTGATAAGTTTCAGAGAAAATGAACTGTTTGAGTGAATTAAATGCTTTAGATTTACTATTGCTTGAGGAGTACATATAACAGAGGTGTGCACTGGTGTTTTTTAAAGGAGGAAAGAAGTCAAAGCAAGAAAAAGAGGCGAAGCTGTGCCAAGCTCTAAAGAGCCAAAAATTAAGAAGATGAAATTATCTTGCTCGGGAAAAAAGTCCAGAAAAAAGACCCATAAAGGTGAATATAAATTTTAGACCTTCAATTTTTTAAATATTCAAATATGTTAGTTGAATTTTAGTTTTGCTATAGCTACATGTGTATAGCTCTAGATCTATAATTATGTGTAACTGCAGGTGTGTGACTGTTGTGACTGTGTGGCACAGGCAGTCAGAAAGATAATTTCTTAGCTAAAATTTCCTAGGTGCACCAAAAAGATAAATTTCTTACATTTTTCTTACATTTTCTTACATTGTGAAAAATTTGCTTTGCAAGGAAGATTTGTCCAAAGATTGGACATTGCATGTCAGAAAGGGTTGTGAAGTATTGAATTCCTTGAGGCTTTGGGGTTGAAAGCCTTTTGGGAATGTTCGATAGCCTTTTTTCACCACAGATCTCAAGGTGATGTATTTGACCTCAAACTGATGACCTTTGAACTCATGCAGAAGAAAATATGTCCTTTTACTCCAGTTTGCTTACTTTCCTTGAATGTGTGGTGTGTGCATGCATCTGCATAGATGCATAGAAATACCCTTGTAGACAATTTAACATAACGGATGAACCAAAGATGAGCTTACTGTTTTTTTAATGGTGTTTCTTTCCAGATCAGGTTTCTTCGGAAGATTCAGATAGTTCTGATAAAGGTAAAGTATTTCAATATCTTCTCCATTTTACGTTTCTGTAAGAAGTTGTATTATTTCATGGTCTTTTTATTTGCTGGTAGTTTTAACATTTTATAAGATGAAAAGAATGCTGTGTGAAAACAAGCAGAGACATGATAGTTATTATGTTCGGCCAGAATATTAGCTGGTGATATCTTAAGTCTTTTTGATACTGCATTGAATAATATTGGGAAGTGTTTTCATTTTTACTTTATGCAAAGTAAAGTGTTCTTTTTATTCTCGTGGTTACAATTAAACATTGCTTCTAGCATTATACCACCTGTTTGTTTTTTTTAAGATAAGCTCTATTAAAATTCATTTCATAAGCACTTTAAATTTTTTAACAGATTCAGATAACAGTGATGCACAGGATGGTCCTTCAGATGCTGACTTTTGGAAAGGTCCTCTGCAAGAAGCAGATGAGAAATCACGGTTAGTTTGATCTAGTGAACTTGTAGATATTAGAACAGACTGCGTCCGCTCAGTACTGAAAAGGCAGAAGTTTTTTCCTGAGTGCTTTAATGAATACTCAGACATCAAAAATTATGTCAGATCTCCTTCCGTGTTGTGAACCTAAGTATGTTTTTTTAAAGAGGAGATGCACACAGCACTGGAGGAGAAACCTTTGTCGAGCCACTCCCATGACACTGCTATCTTAGAAGTGAATCCTCGTGGACACCTCACTGCTGTTGCACTGAAGGGGAAATGTGATGGTGTTGGAATGTATTGAATAAGTCAAAGTGGTCTCTACCAGCTACAAATTCTAATCAGAATTCTGCTGAGCCTTCCATACAAAGATTATCTCCTAGGTACAGATCCAAAAGCAGAGCTTTCTTTGACCTTTTTTTTTTATCCTTTTTTTTCCAGAGAGGAGGAGTTTGATGAGTATTTTCAAGACTTGTTTCTCTGACTTGAAATTGATGTAGGCTGCTTTTCTTCATGAGTTGTCGAGATGAAAACCTGGAAATCGAGTCATAATCAAGGACACAGACCTCTTTCTGCCAGCATACATTTTCTGCAGTCACTCGTATGGACCATCTCAGTGGATTATCTTTGTTAGAAGGCTTCAGGTCTAAAAACTTTGTTTTTCCTGTGGTAGGCTGTATACGTATGAAGTAAGAGAAGTCATTTTCTTCAGTTCAGTGCAAAAGATATATGGCACCCAGACTTAAAAGTCGGAAGGATGTAAACAAACAAGAGTGTAGTTTATTGACTTTACATTAGGGAAGTTGGCTGCTTTTTGTTTTATCCCAAACTTCAGTTATTGTCAGATTTTTGCGAAGGGTCATTTTTGAAGATTCTGTTTTTAGTTTAAAGCCATACACTTTAATATATTCATATTTCTAATTTGTTAAACAAGAGTTAATAGCCTGAAATGTATTGGTCATGTAGACTAATATTCAGGTATTAGTCTCCGTTAGTGTTTTCAAATGCTGTTTGAGAAGTTCAGTTCTTATCTAATATGTACTTTGCTTGAATTAAGTAGATCATGTCTGAACTGTCTCCCCTACTCCTTAGAAAAGTTTAGTTCGTTGTGGCTTTGTTTTAAATTTTAGTTACAATATAATGTGACTGATAATTCCACTTAGAAAATCTGGTTGGTTGGTGAAATTTTTGATGTAAAACACAAAGTGTGTGGCTTTCTCCTGGAGATGTACGTGTGACTTGTGTGTTACCTATGGTTTCTGATCTCCTTGACATTGATTTGTTAATCCTTCTTTAAAGTGTAATCCTAAACATGCACGTAAAGAATGTATGCTGCTTGAGAAACTTACTGGATTCATCTTTCTCTTCAAATTGCAATACAACTTTAAACATTCTTTTATTTTGTTTACAAAGAAACAGTCTGCACATGAATAATTACAGTGGCTATTTTCCTTTTTGGATGAAAGTTACTTTTGATAGGAAGGACAAACTTTTTTTAATTAAATGTTCGTGTTAATCTGAGGAAAGCTGATGTTGTATAAAATATATTTTTTATAAGTGCTTCCAACTGTAGATATATTTATAGAAAGTATTTATAAGTATTTGATGTGGAAAATGTAACAGCAGAGATAGTTGAAGTGTATTTATGAACACTTTACATGCACTCATATGAGTAAGTTGAGAACTCTATTTACAAGTGTTACTAAACATAATTACATTTAAACAGTTTGTACTTACATAATAGACGGCAGCAGAAGGACATATTTAGGGTGTCCTTGAGTAAGAAATAAGCATAGCCTCACATGAAGGCTTCTTTAGGTAAGAAGGTGGATTTAAAGGTTAATTCTCTGTCATCTTGCAAGCTTGGTTGAGAGTCAAATCCAATCTGCAGCAATCTGCTTACATGTGTGCAACTTGCCCAAAGGGGCTTTTGTCGAATGTGTTGCTATATTTGTTGCTTCAAATATTGTATATTATGTGTTCTGGATAACTAGCTCCTCTTTGGGTCTTCAAAGCAGAGTTATGAAATGGTACAATATACATATTAAATACATCATTTAATACATCATTTAATACAGTTTGAATAAAATTACATCATTAAACAACCTTGAAATAGCTTTCCTTAATATCTGCATTTAATACAGAAAATAATACATGATACCCAGATTTATGTCATAACTAAGTTTGCATAAAATGTTTGGCCCATTTGTAGGTAATAAGTGTTTGGGGTTTTTTTTAATGTGGATTCCTTTAATTTTGGATGATATTTGTACACAGTATCTATATTCATAGAGCATTCTCAGAAAGGTATATAATACAGCAAATCATCCAGTCATTCTGCCTTCTCTGTGGATGCTGAGGGCCCTTCAGAGAGAACATGAAGTATGGGTCTGCTTTCTTTAAAGGGGAAAGAAAAGTGGCAGCATGGAGTCTGCATGTCAGACTTGTTTATTGCAGGAATTGCATTTGACATCCATCTCCTCTTAGATTTGAAACTGGTTCTGGTGAACAGTGAGATTCGTGCGTAATGTACTTGCCATTTTCCTTCCCTCGTCTGCAGGAGGAGCTGGCTTCATGAGACCTGAGTAGAAGGGATGGAGTGGACTCTCGTTCTTCAGTTCAGGTTTTGGTAGGGAGATGGGTGTTTATGAAGAGCTAATTTGTGTGCAGTCTGTCCTCTTGGTGGTAGAAAAGGAGGTGGTGTGAATTCTGATGTGCTCTCCTTCTGCCGTCCTCTCCCTCGCGAGGTTACCTTGGTGCCAGGTCTTTGGCTTTCAAGTGCTTCCATTTAGTGCATTTTTGAAAAAGGTGCATTGGGAGTACGCGAGCCTTTTAAAATGCCTTTGAATGTAGATCCTGCTGTAGATATACTGGTATAGGTATCTTAGGAAACTCTTACTTGCATGAAAAGTATCATGTTTATGGTCTGCCTTTTCAGATTTTCAGCATAAAAAGTGGTCAGCTTAGGAACTGTGGGCAGAGCCATTTGCACATGGCAGAAGTGTGGTTTCTCTGAGCTATGGCTGCGATTTATCCTTGGTAGTTTTGAAAAATGTGTACCATGGACCTGCTTTTAGCATTCCTAAAAGTAACAGAGATGTTTACTCTAGAAATTTATAGTATTGAGAGTGAAGGAGAAGGACAATTCCAGATTAGGTAAATACACATAATATAAAAAAATCTAAATATACATGTTATGAAAATTGCAGTTTTTTGTTTGAATTGTACATGTTAGATTTCATTCAGTAATTTCACGTAAGAACTGTCAAAATTATTTGTATTTTTTCTGGACAGTGTGGAGAAGTTATATATTTTAGTAAAAATACTGCATATAAATGGAGTGACATGAAAAAAATACCTAGAGTGCACAGTTAACTCATTTCGCACCTTTTTTTTTTTTAAATTTCCCAGGTTTTAATTTTAACTGTTTACTCCATTAAGAATTATTTCCAGCAAATGGCAAGTGTTTAAGAGGTTTGTTAAGAAATCCGTCTATACTATTCTATGCGAAGCAGAAATTTGCTGGGGCTCAATGAAGTTCTTTCTAGATGTCTTTTCTGTAGCAGAAACAGTGTCCAAGATAAAGAATTACAAAATTATACATGTTTTGGATTTTCCATCCTCTCCACCGCCACCACCTCCAGCTGCATTTTCTGCTGAAAAACAAGAAAAGTGAGTATTTTCTGTTAATTTTAGCTGCTCTGATTTTTTGTTAAATAGGTGTTACTTTTGTGATATGCATATTATGTGTGTTTGACCTTCAGAAAGTTGAACGTGCTGTGACAGCTTGTCTGGGAAAATGCAGTAAGCAGCAATAACACATGCTATATATAGTGTAGCAGTTGATACCAGCATTTCTCAAAGGACCAAACACACTCTGAACCACTCTTCCTGGAAAGTTTCAGGAGTTAAATATAGACAGCTCTGTCCCACACATACAAGACTGCGGTATGCAAGCCATGCAAAAGAAATAAACTCTTGGATCAATATAATCTGTGAATCTGTTTTTGAAGCAGATGACACAAAAACTGTAATTTGACCTAATTGCGTAAGTCTTTATCCAACCCTGCATGAATCCCTTTCTAATAACCAGTTAAGAGAGAGAGAGACACTTGCTGTGTTTGTATCTGTAGCTACTGATTCTGCTACTGTCTCTCTCTCAAATGATTCCACAGATGTTCACTGGTCTCAGTTAAGATTCTTTCAGTGTAATAAATTGCGGTTCCAGGTTCATTTAAGGCAAGATACCAATATTAGAATTAAAACTTACATTTGAAAGCTGTGGCTCACCATGTTACTAGGTCATTTTCGACCCTTTCCACCTGCATTGAAACATGTCACATAATCAGTGTCCTACCCTCTGCAATCTGTGGACATAATCAACACTATGTTACTAACTACGTATTTTATTTTCGTAGTTTAATACTGTATTCTATTTTTGTTTCTGCTCTGAACTTTCCACTGCAGTGGTTCAGCAAATATGCTTATTTTGTTTTCTGAATGGCTAAGGATAGCCAGGTCAGCGTGATCTAGAGAAACCACTGTGGTTCAGCACGTGTCACATTACTGTTTGTATGCACTGACACTCATGTATTTACATGGCCTTGATTTGACAGTGACAGATCTTTTCTTCACCAATGTGCATGGCCTCATTCCAGTGCACATTTAAAAAGATAAAAAATAATTCACTTACATTTTGTGATATCAGTTATGACATGCAACGGTCAAATTGTTAGCTCCTGCAAATCAGTCTGTCCATGCTTGCCTGTGTAAGGTTCCTTGTGGGAAAATACTGCTCTCCTTAAGTCGATGACTGTGATTCCAAAATATCAATGATGAACAATGGTCCTAACTTCAGGCGGTGTTAGGAATACCTGAGTCTTCCTAAATGTAGAGTTTGTTTTTTATTTCAGAACATGATGCTTAAGGGCATAGGATCAGGCTTTAGTACTACTCTCTTTGCCAAGAAAGCAAATGTATAAGGAGGTTTGCGTGTGGGTCCTGGGTGGTTTGGTTTTGCTTTGCTGGTATTTCTGTGGAGTTCAGATGCACGTTCCAGTGTAAGGGAAGAGCACTTTGTTCGTACTTGCAACCAGCTCACTCTCAGCAATAACTTAATCTTCCATAAATACGATTATATGATTAATTGCAAAAAAGTGTTTCTAAAAATAAATTTGGGAGACAATGGAGTGGGCATAATTTCTGTGCAAGTGTGTGTAAGTGGTATCACAGTGTGAGCAGGCCAAAATCTTCCTTGTGATTTTATTACAACAGTAATATTTGACTCATTTTATTGAACTGTGATTAAACCGTGTAACTTACTGTACTTTTCTAACCTCTTTGCCACAACATTTTTTTTAAATCTTAGCCTAGTGTCATTGATTTTGGGAGCCAGTAACAATCTAGTTCCACTTCACACTCTGACAGCAACTTGATGGGTGGCCCTGAGTAGCCTCTCTTTTGTGTGAAATGTGAAGAATACTCACCTATGTCCCACAGGCACTGATCAACAAATGTATTATTCAATACTGTTTTGTGTCTTAAAGATGTGAAACACTTAGAGTAAACTAATTTATCTTCTTCAAACTAGCTGACGGCAAATTGTTCTGTAGGAATCACGTGTGTTTTAGTTTTAATCTCTGAACCTCTTCAGTCATCTCGGCTGATTGGCAGAGCTGTTGACCTGCTGTTCTGCATGCAATACAGAATAACAATAATGGACTGGTTTCGCTCTTCCACTTGTGTTTCTCAGTTTCTATAAAATCAGATTATCTTCTAGGGTATCATATGCAGAACCATACTTTCAATTTTAGGACCTGGGCTGTCTTAGGAAGATTAGTGTTAAATTTGTAATACAAAAGAGTGTGTTTCAACCAGAAAACTGATGGTAGGGGACTAGAGCCAAAAGCTTTATCTTAAACTTGGAAGAGAAATGGAGATTTACACTGCTTTTTAATGTTCCAAATGCACACTATTCATTCCCATCTCTTTTCCTTATGCTATTCATTTTCAGCTTTAACAAAGCACCTGAATACATTTGGGGCTGATGCCACACAGAACTTTGATACATCTCTAGTGTTTCAGGTGATTGCAGCAGTCACAGATAATTAAATGTTTAATTACATTCAGTTTTAAGTCTTAAGGCAAAAGAAATTTTGCGTTCTCTTCACTTGTGTGATGGCTGTATTTTCTATAATTCTGCAGTTTAGTAGGTAAGGTCGGTGTGCTGGATTTGTGTAATCCTTCAATGTTGGTCCTCTTCCAAGTAAAGATAAAGCTAATTTGGCGCATTCAGAACTCGTGTACCATTAGTGTAAAATTTAATAGAATATTGCACAAGAGCACTGCTTATGTGAATTTGAGAGAGAGAGAGAGAGAATGTTGACTGCCTTACAAATAAATATATAGAAATGAAAACCTTAGAAGTTACTTAACCTTTTTTGGCAGCTGCTTCTTCTTCCTTTTTCTTTTGTTCCTCAATAACTTTCATCTTCTCTTCATATTCATCAGCTCGTGTTTTCCACTCAACCCTGTTGTTTTGAAGACCATCAAACATAGGTGTAATTTCCTTGTGAAACCTCGAGAATTCCTGTACAAACAATTTAAATTAGTAGATTAGAAATTTGTAAACTGATGGTTTGTAACGTCTGAGTTTGTGGAGATAGTGCTGCTTTGCAGAGAAAACATTATTTTTCATTTTTCTATTAAATTTAATTCTGTGTGTATGCTAGATGAATTAATTTTATTTGATTTCACATTTTTTCAGGCACTTGTTCCGTCGCTGGTAGTGGGTTTTCTGTAGAAGAGAAAAAAATTTGAAAGAAATAGCGTGAGTACTGATGGTGTGCGTTGGAAAGCATGTTCTTGGCCATGCAGTGGTGGTGCGTCATTGGAAATACTGTGCTGAGATAATAATGCTGTACTGTGCGTGTATTCAGTTGGAAAAAATCTGAATTATATATACTGCACATTGTAGTATCTTCCCTAAGCTCACATTTGATAGTCTGATTCATATAATAAAATTACAGCTGTGATACACTACATTTTATCATACGATTATCTGTACTGGAATAGATTTAAAAAGTCTCGTGTCCTGTAGGATATTCCAAACAGATGAGGATGTATCTGAAGTTGTTAAACTATTACTTGTCACTTTTCTGCCTGACGTTCTGGGATAATACTAAAAGCTAGACAGGGATTAATAATGTTGGCATTTCAGTGCCCTACAGAAGATACAGAATGTCTGTATTTCAAGAAAGCTGCAAGTTTCCTGTTCCCTTTGCTGTGCCATTAACTGCTTTCGTTAGCCATCCACATGTTGCATACTTATATTGAATGGGACTGTGAAGAATCAGACTGGGCTTTACCTTCTTAACTCAGTCTTTGAGGGTAGTAACAACACCTTAGTGCCCTCAAGTTTCGCTGAGATACTCACTTGTTATGAGTTTTCTTCACATCTCTTGAATTTGCTTTGTGGGAGCAATTCTCCTGTGTAACAAAAGACTGAAAAATTGTGGCAGTTGTGATAGCTGTTTACCCTGTGACCAGGAGTCCTTCTGCTGTCTGGAATTATTTAACTAAAGTAGTTTGTCACTAATTGTGCCGTCAGAACTGCTGCAGTGGGAAAACGAAAGAAAGTAATATTCTTACCTTGTACACAAATGTACACACAAAATCTATGAAACCAACTTGGAGCTTAGGTAGTTCATCTCCTTTGTTTCTATCCATCATAGGCTAGAACAAAACAGCAGTAATTGAGATTATGTAGATGCACTTTCTGGTATAATGATCTAGCAAGCATCATGGACCACTGTCTAGTCAATGATTTAGTAGCAGTTAATACTGCTTATCACAGTTACATTATTTAGTACTTACAATTGGTTGTTGCTGCAGCACAGTTCGTTCTAGGTCACCTTGCTCCCAGAATTCATTTGCAACCATGAGGGCAACCTGAATAGTCACAATTCAGTGATTCAATTCAAGTGTCAGCAGAAAGCAGTACATTTAAATAAATAAGCTATAGGACAAAGGGTAATGGCTTTAAACTGGAAGAGGGCAGGTTTGGACTAGATATTAGGAAGAAATCTTTACTGTGAGGGCGGTGACACACTGGAGCAGGTTGTCCAGGGAAACTGTGGAAATTGCCTGGAAGTGTTCAAGGCCAGGCTGGACGGGGCTTTGAGCAACCTGGAGTAGTGGGAGGTGTCCCTGCCCATGGCAGGGGGGTTGGACCAGATAATCTCTAAGGTCCCTTCCAACCCAAACCATTCTGTGATTCTGTGAAATAAATAAAAGAATACGGCTTTCCAGAAAATGTGAAAATGTTGATGAACCATAACTGGCATATGACTGTATACTACTTTATTGTTACTAAATTCCCTCTCGGAAAGAGAGGACTTCTTTTTTGCTGGCTGTGTTATCTCAGAGTAGTTTTAAAAGTTCTCTGGAAATCAAGAGTTTTGCTCAAACACAATAGAATTCCACTCTTTAGTTCCTGTAGAGATAGCCAAGCACCTCTTTTAAAAATTACAGACGCTCTCTGGTGTACTTAAGGCTTTTTCCAGCAAATTCTCTACCGATGCTCTGGTGCATGCTGAGTAAATGATAGATTATTGTCAACAGGAACAAGATAATATTAGCAATGTAACAGAATCCTCTACTACCTTTAATGTGTTTTACTTAGAAGGCTCCACGAGGATCTTGCAGTTATAATTTGATTATTCATAGTTAAAACCTATTCCTGTAAGGCTCAGTGATGAGCTTCAGCGTGATGGTCAAGCAGTACTGAAGTACTTGAAGTACTTAATAACAAAGCAGTCTCACACTGTATTACGGAATTTATTTTTAGCATGTTTAAGCTACTTTGAAATGGCATCAAGATCCACAGAATAGACACAATTAATTCAAGTCATACTGTTGTTAAACCTGTACTTTAAAAATACCTGAAAAATAGCAAAAGTTGGATAGCAGCTGTGATATTTAAGGGTATCTAGAACAGCTGACAGAATCAGGGATGCCAGTTTTAGCTGAAGGCCAAGTAGAGAAGGGCGGAACAACTGAAGAGTGGTTGGGGAGAGGCATCATGGAACCCTTATGCTCACAGTGACAGAAAAATAGAAATTGTTTGCTGCAAACCTAGCTGGGTGCAAATACTTAAATACGTATAAAACGATAAGAAGTATTTTTTCCTAGATGATCATGCATCAAATAGGCAGTAAACCAGATAGCAAATGCAGTCTTGTCTGTCTGAAAAGTACCTACCTTGCTTTGCACTTCCCAAGGCTTGGTTATAGCAGACAGGTCACATCCAGTCATCATCATGGCCCTTTGAAGACACAAAACGAAACGGGAGTATAGTTAGGATGAGGAAAGGGAAAAAAGAAAGACTGGATTTTTGTGGTCTTTAGATACGTAAGATGCAGATGGAGGCACGTTTTGCACATTTTGAGAAGGTTGTATACATCTATTTCTGGTTTAAAACCATGATTACGCTCAATCATTGGACAAGAACACCAAGTCTTAGTTAACATGTTTAGGTGCCCAAATTCTTTCAAAATCTGGTCCTAGATAACTGGTTGAATAAAGAGTAAAATAGGAACCACCTACATGATGACTTCTTTTTTGGTTGGATCAATAGATATATATTTAATTGCTTCCTCTTCTGTTTCCATTTTTTCAATGGCATCCACAATCTTTTGAAACATAGTTCTTTTCCTGTTAAAACATACCAATAAACCATATATAGTTCATACATTAAAAATTAAATAGAAAACCATATTTCTGATATTTATGCTTTTCCAAAGTAGTATCCTAGCCAGAGTAGTGTCAAAGTGACACCTTCTTGCTGTTGAACATAAACTTTTCAGGTAACCTAGCACATTTCTATTTTGCTGTATACCGCTGACATGTAAAACATCATGTCAGATTTCCTGACAAAGAAACAGATAACCCATTTCCTGGCTCTTCGTATTAAACTGTTTAGGGTGACATTCTGATTCCTTTAGTATTACATGTTTTGTTACTTCCTGTTACATGATGAATTAGGAAAAGTGAAGCAAATACTAATAAATATTCTTCCACTCCCTCCTCTCAAAAATCCAAAACACTAACACCTGAGAAGAACTTTGACAAACATAAATGTGTCTTGCTATTGCTTAATAAATCTTTTAATTTGCATTTAGAATGAATGAAATACTGGAATTACTGTTCACTAAAATTTCATAACTGCTGTTGAACAACTCACTGAATTGTTTCATGTCTCCAGGCTTTAAATTGGCCCCAGTCATAAGACTTCTGAACCAAAACAAAAGGCTCCATATATCTTTAAGGAAAATAGCCATTGTAATAGCACATTAATTCAGTAACTTGTGAGCAGGATGGATGATGTGATATTTGGAGTCTTTGGCATATTTAGCACTGGAATCAGTAGACATCTGCAGTTTTGTTTTTAAACCAGCATCTGAATTTCCATGTCTTAAGCACACTCCTGCTTAGTATAAGCAAGTGTAGTATGATACGCTGGAGATCACACACGTACACAATAGACTACAGAATCCACACTTCTGAAAGTGTTTGCTGTGACGGAAAGCATATATGAATGACCTACTAAGTGTATGCCAAATATAGCTCTGTACTCAGCATATAGACAACTAAAAACTATAGTTATAAACTGTATAGGATTGACATTTTTTTCAGTAGGAGGTTATACAGAATTTTTTACTTACTTGAAATACAAAGCCAAGTCAGTTGCTATTATTGCAACTTCAAATAAGTGTAGAACAGTTTCATACTGGCGCTTATTTAGGTTCTGGAAGATGTTTAAACTCTGCAAGATGGAAAGTTTACGAATTCAGTTCCTTTTATAACACTGTCTTTGGTTTGTACTATACAGGCTGTCTCAGAATAATATAACAAAATTGGCCAACTACAGCCCCTAAATTAAAAGAATGCCACAAATGATAAAAATGTTTCTAAAGATGGCCCTTATTCATGGCTAATAAATGGCTAAAATAACTGTGTGAATGGTAGGTGGATTTAAGATGCTGTCCCCAGAGTCTACACAAATACCTAAATCCACAGTGACTCAAACAGTTGCAAGTCCTGGTATTGCCATATATAAATCCAAAGAAAACCACCTATCTGCCTCATAATTAGTAAAGAAATGGGAGTTCTTCATGATTTCTTTACAGTTCACATTCCATAAACCTAATTTTCCTAGACTTTTTAAAGCTCCACAGTAGACACCAGTTTCCTGCAGTGCTGTTATGGACCTAGTGTCATAAGTGTAATGGCCTTTTCCTCAGGCAAAGGGAATGAGAGCATCACACCCAGCATTTTTCTAAGTGTCCCATTTTCCTTCCTTCTTTAACTGAGGGGACAATACCTGTGAGAGCACGTGGCACAGCGATGCTGCTGTCGAAGGCCTCCAGAGGTCCTGACAACTGCTCCAGCAAAGAGCAGAGGTTAGTCCCCAGCATCTCACATTTGAAAAAGTAGATCACCATCAATGAAGGTAAAGGTGGTTTTGTATTGGGTTTTTTTTAAATCATAAATCTTCTGGGCTTTTTATGATTATTGTGCTACTGGTTAGCGTAAGGATTCATTCTGTGGCCTCACAAGGTCAGGAAATGGCACCACCACAGGTCTGAGAAAATGAAAAATGAGGGTGGAATTGTGAGGGTTCACAGCCCGCCATGCTGCTGTGAACAAGTGGGATAGAAAGGACACGTGTTCAAGCCGTGCCTGTTAAATTTATTTCCCTGTAACGTACATAGTAAAGACTCGCAAACAGTCTCTTTCTTTGTAGCCAGGGAAGAGCCAGGCACCGCTGAGGGAAGAGTGGCAGATCCTCACCAGAGGAGCAGGCCTCTGGGGGACAGAGGGCCCTGAGGGACTGCACTGACGCCATTTTTTTGAGCCTGAGGTGGGGAGCCTCACCTCAACAGCTGCTGGGGAAGGGCTGCTGAGGACATCTGCCTAATTCAGGGAAGATCAGTAATAGAAGCTGTCGTGGAGCCTCGTGATACTGCCTTCTCTGTTTTAGCAAGGTAAGGTGTGGGAAGGTCTGGCTTAGGGGTAAGGGGGGCCTTCATGAACAGCTCCATTCCTTTGCTACTCAACTGCCAGAGCCAGCAGCTGAACTCAGACCTCCTGAATCAGGGGCAGTGGTTTAATTACAACATTTTGTATGTATGTATGGTGTTTTCTGCTTTGGTTGCAACATCAGTGGAGCCTCATGATACTGCCTTCTCTGTTTTAGCAAGGTGAGGTGTGGGAAGGTCTGGCTTAGGGTAAGGGGGCCCTTCATGAACAGCTCCATTCCTTTGCTACTCAACTGCCAGAGCCAGCAGCTGAACTCAGACCTCCTGAATCAGGGGCAGTGGTTTAATTACAACATTTTGTATGTATGTATGGTGTTTTCTGCTTTGGTTGCAACATCAGCTGTTTTGTGAAAGCGGAAAAAAACCTGAGGAGTGTGAGTGGGACCCAGAGGTAAAGCTTTTCTATCTTGTGTGAGCCTGTTTCTGGCAGAATTGCTGATGTTTCTCTAAAAGTGGACAATGCATGATAGTCTTACATTTATGAATATTAGCATAATTTTTTAATCTGGACCTAAAGGAATGAATGAGACGTGGTGAAATTTGGAACATCATAACTCAATTGGATCTTTTGTGTTGATCAGTGTAAGCAGGAGGTTCATGTAGACATACCTCATCTTGCAGTAGGGTTTTACTGTACTCCAGGTGATGCCTTTCTAAAATGGAAGAGCCATGAAGTTTTGCCAGCGGAGCAGCTGACCTGTTGAAAAAAAAGCAATTCTTTATAATATTTTGGAGGCAATATTTTTGATTCAGGATTCAGATTTTTTAGGATTAAAATGCTTCTGATCTGCAAGTTCAATAGTTTAATCTATATACCTTAACCATTGGTACGATGCAAAGCAAAAACAAATATGAAATACTCTTATGATTGAATAATTACGGAAATCGGAAAGCACTGGGTGTTCAGTGTCCACCAAAGTCAAAGGTGTGGTTAGATGCCTCAAAACTCAGAACCTGTTTTTTTAAACATGCTTCTGTTTTGTGTTTCATGCTCAGTTTTGCTGTTTGTTTAATCTACGCAACCTTCTGTGTACCTTAAAAATAGCCTTGATGCATCTTTTGGTATTTATTATGTGACACGGCTTTTGAACTCTTGTCTGTCTGTAATGACTGTGGGCTGTGCCCCATGTGATTCTACCTTACTTGTAAGTATACTGGAGTTTAATTCCTCTATCGCCCTTGGACTTCTCCCTTCCCCCAAAATAACCATTTTATGGACTGCGCAAGTCGTGACAGCTCAGGTCAGTGTTATCACAGAGCTCGAAGCATTCCTCTGATGTTGGGCTAAGCTTCAAGCAGAGGAAATTCTGCGTCAGACCATGGTAGTGGGAGGAAGGGAGAAGTGTCCTATCTATGTAGGCTTCAGGTGGTTCTGGATGTTTGGAAGTGTATTTTCCTCCTTTCCTCACTTGTCTAATAACTCTGTTCCTCAGATAACCCAAGGAGGATTGCTGCATGCTACCTGTATTTTCTGACTTGTGATTAGGACTGTCGTGGTAAAGCCTGATAACTTTTATAAATAGCTTTACTGCGTATGACCTCACGTAGAGGGCTTTCGGCTAGGGAAGACCACAGTAGGAAGATTTAAAACCTCACTTAAACTTATTTGGATGAGAGGCAGTCCACTGAATAGGAATCAGCGTCTGTCATTCTCTCTCTCCTACGTCACCTGGAGAATCCCTGAGAATAATCAGAAAATCCCCTCGCGTCACTGCTCCAACATGCAGGCTGAAATGCCTCTCCCCGAGGAGTGTATCCAGGGTCAGAGGAGGATGAATCATTCTGGAGATACAGTTGGTGGGAAACTGTACTCAGAAAATTATGGTTATAATCTTCTGGTGCGCGTGATATTCTGACAAACCTGTGTTCTCTGGCTAGCGTATAGAAACAAGCCCTAACAGAGCATGTGAAAGACTAAACAGTGGATTGTTCACTCTTCTGGAGAAGAATGGGTCTCACCATGATATCTAATGCTGTAATAAAAAGGGAAGTTTAAAACAAAATTAATTAATATTGCTTTTAACAAGAACCTACTAATTAATATTGTTACATAAACAAGGGGAAAACCATATGGAAATCCTTTAGAATGTGTTCTCAGGATAAAAAGGAGCATGAATTGCAAAGGTTAACTTCATGACAGGTAACTTACTGGCATGTGGACCCAGTGGCAGAACACAAGCTCTTTAGCTCAGAATCCTGTATAACATGAGGAGATTACACCTCAGGAAAGGATCTACATCAATCAGTAAACTCAGGAGGGGGTGGGGAACCACTGAGCTAGTCAAATCAAACAGCAGAAAACAGAGAAAAAGAATGTGTCTTCAATCCTACATCCCTCTAAACCATATCCTGAATCCATCTCCAGAAAAGTGTTTATGCCCCGTCTTGACAAAAGGTAGTCCAGTTAGGGATTTTGATTTACTTTTTTTTCATTTCTCTGTGGCCTCATGTGCATGAGGGTCTGCTACAATGCAACATTGCAAGAGCTTAGTCTCTCTTAAAAATGAACTGCATCTCCAAGAGATCCTCCTAAGATTCTGCTTCTGCATCTCTGAGGCAGAAACCTTACGTAGGATAAGTGTTCATTCTGTTCAATGCCAGATGAATATAGAATATTCAGTATACCTTATATTTTTGCAGGTTTTGACATGGTTTCTTCATTTGCCACTAAAAATACTAGGTATTAATATATTTGAGCATTTGTACTCACTTCATCTGATACAAGTTATTGGTCCCTCTGTGATCAATGTCATGGCAGAAAGCAGCAGCAACCATGGCAAAGGCTTCTAGATCATTATAGTATTTCTTTATTTTGCCTGTCTGTAAAAGAAAACAGACAGTTCTGACTGTGTACCTTCCTGAATTTTCCAGTTGGAAGTGAAAGGAAAAGTAAATAGTGAACATAAGGTCAGTATTAGCAACATTACCATCAGTAGAGTGAACATTGTTTGTCCCACGTTGAATCCATGTCGCCAGTTATGGTAAGTGATGTCTCGATAACCTTTCCTGACTGTGTACATCCATCTTGTAAGGACCTATTACGAACAAAAGTGATTAAGACTGTGCTGTTAATTAAACAAAGTGATGGAATTCCTGTAAAATTACTGGAATATACCATGAAATTACTGTAATAATGTGCAAGTTCTATGAAAATAATTGCTTTTCATTGAGTTAAACATGGAAACAGCCGATTTGTCTCATGTAAATGCATATTGATTTAATTACTTCCGTAGCTCACACAATTTCAGGACAAATATGCAGATGTTTAATTAAGAGTGGAAGATTGCTATCCATACCACTAATATTTTAGAATCGCCTACTTCTATATTGAAGTATCTGCAGTCAACTATTTTTCTTCTATCTTAAAATAAGTCTAAACAAGACAAAAGAAATAAGACCTCAGCTGGGACTTTGAACTTTTCAACGACGTTTATCTCAAAGAACAGTCGTATTCCACAGGTTATTAGGCCATGCTCTGTAACAGGAAAGTCGCTGAAGCGGAATTCATACAGTTCTAAATCTTTTGGATCAGGCAATTCTTCTTTCTGTTGGGAAAAGTCAAAAACACAAAGGTTTTTTCTGGCAAGAACAAAGTTGGAAAAACTTTTTTATTTTATTTTATTTTCTGACTTCAGTAGAAGCATCGCCTAAGGACAGGATGTTTACTGTACCTTCAAAGGCCTCAGGTTCCAGTACAAACTAATGTGTATTAAGATAGAAATCACAGTTGTGATACTGCTGGCTTTCTTCTCAAAGAGGATAGGTAAATGTCTTGGTCAGACAGTGTTTCTTCCTGCTCTGAATTCCAGTACAATCTGTTGTGGCCATCTCAACGTTTCCATACTTCAGAAATCTCAGGCCTTGGAGTTTATCTTTCCTGGTATAAAATGATATGCTTCTCCCACTCTAGAAAGGTGGCTGAATGTATGCACGTATTTCAACAAATAAGGCTGAACACCCATGCAAAAAGATTTCCTTCTCCCTGAAATTTTTCTTTGTATTTACTCTGCTCTGAGGTCAAGGACAAGGAAACCTGAAGCAGTGGTGGTTTAAGACCCATTACTTTGTGAATCATCAGATCTAGAAACACCTGCTTTATCCCATTAGCGATCTGGGATTCCAGGTCTTATAATAGGATAAAGCATTTGCATGTAGCCTTGGTAGTGCAGAAGACATTAGACCTCTGAATTTGTGACTCCACAATGTTGAGAGAACTCATTTTAATTGCTTTTTGGAGATTTTAAAATTCATACAAGTGTTATGTTTTTACATTTGGAGCCTGTACCATAATAATCCCTTTGTGCTCTACCAGTAGAGAGATTTTATAATTTCTGTCTATTAATTTTTGCAATTCTTCATGCAGGTAAGTCAAATACACTTTAAAGGCTGTGTGAAGCTACACACGCTCTGCTGATGTTTTTTAGTTTCACCCCTTGAAAGATGAGTGAGCATCTGTTTTATGGGAGCCAGTAAAACCTTAACACCATTGCATTCCAGCATGCACATGTACACAACTAAAAATAACTTAATGAGGTCTTTTCCCTATGGCTATGTCTGTATTAGCAAATGCGGTGCAATAGGAGGAAGTATGTGAAGTGGTTGGTACTGGACATTAACAGATTTGTGTGTATTTGACCTTTTTTCTTCAGCCTAGCTCTGTTTTGATCCATGTCAACAGTGGGAGTCCATTCAGTGTTCTCCTGGAGCACTTCTTTGTGTTTTGTTTCAGATAAAGTAAGCCAGTGCATGTGCTCCAGGATGGCTCCACAAGAAACAATGAAGGGCACTAAGTGGGCACAAACAGAAATTTTCGTCCAAATAGGCACTCTCCTTCTAGACTGACATATTGAGGCAGCCAGAGGACTGCAGAGTCTGGAGGAGAAAGTGACTGACTTTTGGTTTGGTGCTAGCAGAGACAGAACTAATTAGGTCAAATCTGTTTCATCACTGTGAAGTCACTGGTCACTGTCTCTGGGCTTCGATGCCTAAGGAAATGCAGGAACATTAGTCTGAAAGTAGATTGGTTCCACTGGACACTCCTACACGTGTTACTCGGAATGAACGTGACCTCACATCAACGTCCCTTCTTTTACTTTCACAATTCAGTAAATTCATTTATCGGTATAGCACTGTCCGCATGGATATTTAAATAGGTTAAATACTTTGAATGCTAATTCGTATAAACATTTCTATATAACTCTTGATTATCCAAGTCTTTCGGCACATACTTGGGGCAGACTGTTTCCCTGTACGTAACAGTAGGGTCTGCATGTAGAAGAACCAGAGAGGATGAAGATGTACGATTAAATTCACTCCATCTAGCTTGTAGAACTGATAGCTAAAGTCAGTGGTATTAATCAGGATTTGGCTATGCACACCTTCTTCTGTAATGATAACATTGCTATGGTATACACATGCTACCAGAATTTTCAGTTTAATGACTTACCAAAATCCTGATAAGATCCTTTTGTTCACATTCTTCTATACTAGTTACATTTAATTTCTCCTTGTATTTCTAAAAAGGAAAATGAGTAAGAAATTCAGTTTTTGTGTAGCAAATTTCCTACTTTAGTTTTGTGACTGTGGACAGAAACTTACCAGTATAGATTCAACTTCAGAAGGGGTGGCCTTTGTCTGGTACATAAGCATTTCTTGAGCAATGTCTTTCCTGTTTTCAAGCTTGTTCATTTTGTCGTAAGTGTCAGTATTTAAAACAGACCACCCCAGGAACTGTGTGAGAGTCTGGAATAAAGCCAAGCAAAGTGGATTTGACACCAAGACAATGAAGTTAAACTGACAATTTGAGCTTTCTTTTCTTAAACTCCAGTTTCTGGTAGTGCCCTTTGAGAAGTGATGTGTAACTCTACTTGTCAGAGGCCTTTATCTTCTGTTAGGTCTGTTAGCACCTCACAGTAGTTGTGTATCTCAACCTAGTAATTAAGGTCCCATATTACCATTTTGTAGACAGGACTTTGAAGCTTATGTAGCTTAATGTAGCTGAGTGGACTTGGATGCACTCTGTAGCATCTTATCTTGCCCGAGTGCATGTGAACATGAACGCTCTGGGAACTCCCATGGTCGTTGGCAAACAGCACACCGTACCTGCTTACCCATTGCTAATAGGACACGCTGACTGTTACAGAAAAGTCAAATTATTGAAAATAAAACTATATCTGACTTTTGTTCATTATTGGAATGTTTATGATCTCATAAATTTTCAGGTTTATAAAGGGAAATAAAATTTCTGATTCTTAAGAAACTGTATAGTGAAGTAGACAGACGTTTGCTTAGAAGTTAATACAGCCTATTTGAAATTTTTAGACATCTACATATTACTTTTTGCAGTAATATTTTTTTTATCATATGGCTCCTTAAAGCCTCTAATCCTATTAAGCTTACTTCAATGATCTGTTCATCATACTCGTCAAAAGGCTTTCCATCTTTCCTGTTGTAAAATGTTGCAACTCCCACAATTTCTTCTTTCTTGTTGACAATAGGCAATGACAGGACGTTTTTGATAACCCATCCAGTCTCATCCACTGGTCCTTTCTGTAAGAAAGCCAAAGAACAGGAAACGTGTATTTCTTTGGAAGTAGTAATACAGCTGTTGATACAGGCAATATGACACTAAGACCCATGCATCACGAAGGGGAAATTATTTTTGTAATCAGCTGTATAACTAATTGATGGAAAACATTGGCATATTTCAATACAATATCTATAATTATTAACATTACAGGAATTACCTGAAATGTGAAATATTCATCCGCTGGTGCGTTCATCATGTTACAAATCTGTAGCATAAAGAAAAGCGGACATTGTTTAAGTGGAATATAATGTGCACCAAGACTTGGCCTGATATTTTAAAAAGGCATATTTATTTTCTAAGCTAACAGCAGTGAACGCCCTCACTAGCTAGAGAAATTAAAACTATTCTTACTACATTACACGTGGGTCTAACAGATGTCATTCTAGAACACTTGAGGCAAAGTCCCTCACGATTAATAGTTAAGAAAAATAGTTAAGAAAATGGTTAAGAAATGGTTAGGATATGGTTAAGAAAATCACTTCCAGTTTAAAATGTCATAGGGGTTTATAGAAAGAAGTAGCTGAGTACTAAGCACTCTGTCCTTACTGCTATTAAGAATGCCATAGGATTACTAATAACTGCCATACATCACACCTTTGAATTATGTATAGTGTCTATGCAAGTAGAGATCAGGAAAAAAAACAAAACAACAGAAAACCTGTGTACATGATGATCTTCTTACTTTGACATTTTGTTGTGAGACTTAGTTAGCACACCTGGAAGGTGACATCAGATGCACACATTATTCCTCCAATGTCACCACAATCAGAGGGAAATCGTGCTGATTTGGCCGTTAGTGCTGCGGGCTTGTCTCCATCCAGACTACTGATTCACATGATTTCCCTGGGAAACGATGCTGGAAGCAGCAGCGTATTTTCGGAGAGGTTTTTGGTCATTGGGAGGTTTGAGGTTTTTTTTCCTTAATCGGAAGAACTGCATGAACTAAAACTTTTAGTTTTTACTTTTGCTATGAACTTACAAATCCATTTTCAGCAACATATGTTGGCAATCCACTGACAAGACACCAGTGATCTGCTGGAGGTGACCTTTAGAGAGAGAGTGACATGGAATTATTTGTCCGGTACAGACACGTTGTTATTCCATCCCAGCAAGGCACCGCACGGTCACAGGCTGCCAGCCAGTACTCACGGAATGACTTTGATTTCTTCTTTTCCATGTAAAATGTAGTCAATAATCTTATAGAAGTTGACTTCCTAAATAAAAAGAGAAAAACGTGTAGGTGACCTGTGCAACCTCAGTGTCAAAATTAAGAGTCATAAAAAGAAAAATTAATATCCTCACTCGTCCATCAGGTGTCTTGGGGCCTTTGTAAGGCTCTGCCTCCCCCAGCCGGATTGGCCACTCATCGTAGAACTCCTGAGAAAAGGATACACAGGGTTTAGCAAAAGGAAAAAAAGATCAGTTCTGTGTTCATAAATAACATGGTATCTGTGGACAGAAATTTTATTTTTCCTTCTCTAGGGTGTACTATGGTCACATTTCAGACAATATTAAAACATTTTTCCAGGCAAGAAGTGGTTGCAAGTAAATTGCAGGCTAATCTGAAGCTTGTATCTGAATGGTTGTACAGCTGAATTGTTGTTTTAGAAGGCAGGTATTTATAAAGCAATAATCAGACCTGCACTTCTCTCTTCTACCCTTTCTCACATAGAGTTCTTAACATGAAAAATAATTTCAGAATTAGCCTTTATGTTTATTGTGATTGTGTCCTTTCCCGTGCTTATCTTTTGCATGTATTATTTGTAACATGGATAGATTTTATGTAAATTATCCCAAAGGGTTAGAAAGCTTGGTAACTTTGCGTCTCGGAGAGACATGCACTAGAAATACGCAGAACAAATTAATTAGAAGGATGGATCTTATAAGTTAATGTTAGGAGTAGCACATTTCTACCTAGCAGGCAAAATGATGGTTACCTTCTCCTTGGTCATGTCCAGCAAACCAACGGAGTATCTTTCACAGTTCAAATACATTCGAATAGTGTACAGTGCTTTGTGAAACTGCCGCTCTATATCTGTTAGCTCTTCAAATACTTTGTTGGCGGACCACAAAAGCATCTATTTACAACAAAGGAAAAACAGGGTGAACGTTCACAGCAGTAAGAAAGTGTAAACACATGAATCCTGGGCATTCCAGAATAAAATTATAAGGTGTGTAACTATTGCCAAATTCAAAAATTAAACACATGCTATCCTTACTTCAATAGGCATGCAAGAATATAAAGTAGTGGGAATAGTAATGGTTTCACACAAAACTAAAGTATCATCAGTAACAAATTCTTCTGTACCTGACTCCTTCGGGTTTCAATATTGTAGAGATAGGACGTATGATTATTTCTTAGGACCAAAGATATAAAATTGAGGTATTTTTTAAAGACCTGAAAGTGACAAAGAGCAAAAATAAGACAAAAGTGACAAATCAAGAGGCAGATTCACTCAAACTACGTGTTGAGCTAACTGTTGTACTGCTGTGTGACATTTGAGGTTATTACCTCTTCATCCTCTTTTGAGAACTCAGTTGCATTTAATTTGTTGAGTGCCATCACAACAGCAAGCACCTCTTTGCCCTGTACAATTGGGACTGCCAACATATTGACTGTTGTATAACCAGTTTTTTTGTCCAGATAGTCAGAAAAATGGTTATTCTGAAAGAGAAGAAACCACAAATGAAACACATTATAATGAGTTGCTACTCCAGGAACAAACGATAATTTCATTTGATAATTTATATTTGCAATACTATGAGCACATTGTCACAGTCCAGTAAGTTTATACTCACAAAAAAACCCATCAACATTATGTCTACAAGCTTAACTTAGGCATTGGTTTTGAATATGACTTCTGAAACCAAGTTCTGTGGAGATTTTTATTAGAATGCTGAGAAATTTGAAGAATTAAAAATACGGGAAAATCTAGACTAGGGTAATATGACTTTGTGGCTCCCTGAGAGTCTAATACATGTGGCTTGCATTTAAGAGAATTACTTCATAGCTATGTTAATATTTATTATTATTTAATCATTTGACAATGTTTAAAACTACTGTCTGCCCTGAAGGTACATGGCTAAAAATGCTTCTGGCAGAGGCATCCCCAGCAGCTACGCGCCTGGCTGAGCTGTTTCTTACTCCTTCCTGTCTGACAGACTCCCGTCCCTGCTGCTCCAGTCCAACGTGCTCTTCTGGTGAACAGGAAGGCACGGGACCAGGGGTACCAGGACACAGAGCTGGTTATGTTGTGTGTGAGATCCTGTGGGAATGAGACCACGTGGCGAATGAATGAACCACAACTAACTACCCTCAGCTTCATCCTTGAAGACAAGTGCCGAGGAGGGTTTAGTAAAAGCTCTTCTTCTCCTTCTTTCATGCAAAAATTACTGGGAAGCTGATTCTTGTTTCATGAAAAACTGTTTCATTTCCTCATTCGAAGAAATTCTTGGAGTTTTCTTTGAAATCCTTTAATGTTCTCTTTAATTTAAAAAAGGGATTTGAAATTTGTCAGGGAAATCTGTTTGCCAAGGGTGGTTGTGTTTTGTGACCTTCTTATGACAATATATCTAAATGAGCTGAGTTATGATGGAGGGGGTTGAAATCTGTCAATATGAGCATACTGAGAAGTGACATGGTTCTACTGAGAAGCTAAAGTAGCCACACTCTGCATTCACCGAGCCTTTTCCATCCACTCGCCTCTGCCACTTCTAACAACTCAGTGCTCAAACTGCTTCTTCAGAGAGATGAGCACTCAAGTGCTGGTCTACGGTCAGTGGAAGACTCTCCATAAATTTTCTTTCATGGGTCTACTTCTGATTTCTCAAGCTGATGAGCAGTTGGTGCTAAATGAGAAAGTCGAGAGGGAGCGAGTGGCCTGGTCACCAGGAAAGGTCAGGCTGCATTGTAACACCATGGACAGGAATGTAAGCCAGTTAGAGGGGTGCCAAAGGATGGGATGCCTGTTTTAAGGATATCCACTTGGAACCAAGATTCCCCTGCTGTTAGCAGGTGTCTGTGAACCCACTTTATAAAGTGACTGACTTGTTGCTGCATGTCTAGCCACAGAGCTGATACCTATTATTGCTGTTAATTATGATATTAGCTTAGGCAGCCAAGGTCTGCATGGGGGATCTTAAGGTCTCTTCCTTGCTGATGGGCTGGAGGATGCTGCATAATGGAATTTCTGCTTCATAAAATATGCACAAAGTTACTTAAACAAGCAAGCAAACAAACATACAAACATTTTCTATGTTGTAAAATCAAGCATGAAAAGGCTAGGAGATGCCAGAACTAAAATTGTTTGTCTGCTATTTGGATCTTTCCTCTTATTTCCTTTTTTCCCCTTTTCCCTCTCTAGCAATTGTTTCTGGTATATGTTGAATTTATAGCATATACAACCCTGAGAAGGTAGACTGGATTTCGTTTGCTCTTCAAAATGTTAGGGGTTTTTTTCTTCAGTTCTTCAGATTCTTTAGACAGCCCATCTTTTACATTTACGTTTTAGATTTCCTTCTAGGACTGCATTTCTGTGACAGGAATTAAATGTGTGGAAGTAACCAATATGCTTTCTCTGTGATTGAATGTATCAGGCTGTGTTTGGGTCCCGGGAAAGCATAGCCAGTTCTGAATACATTGTCCAAGTGAAAAGGGGTTGCTTTCTCTGTTTCTGTCAAACTTTTCCTGACTTTTTTTTGTGTGTTGTTTTTCGTAGAGAAAGTTATAGGGGTATCTCACTTAGCAGGCATCCAGGGAAAACACGAGTCAAGTTGTCTCTGCTATGTAAGAATCAAATACCGTCCTGCAGTCTGCCAAACAAGTATGTTATTACAGGGAAATATTTTATTTCTTCTGAGTTGTATTACCTGCTGACACAACCATCCTGCTTCTGGCTGTGGTTTTGAGCTTCAGTAACAATTTCTGAATCTCTGACTGTTTTAGTCATTCAAAACAAAGTAAATCAGATAGAGAATTAGGAATGTAGTCCCTCCGCCTCACCAAGAGCTTCTAGCAAAATGGCAGGGCCAAAGTTCCTGGTTTTAAGGTGCTGTATGCTGCTGTGAGGGAATAAAAACAATTCAGAGCCTCCTGGATCTCTGAATCCTTAAAAGGGACCTGCATATACCAAATGAGCTGAATCAGCAAGACACAGCTGCTGAGTCTTAATTAGTTTAACAGCTCCAGACTGAAGGTACAAGCAGTGATGTTCAGAAGAAACCCTTTGGTCACACAATTCTTGCAGAGGATAGGAAAATTGGAAAGAATGCCAGCCTGTGTTAATGAACAAGAAGTTCAGTGACCACAAGCCATCATGAGTTGTGCCTATGTAGTGCAATGCAGAAAGACGTAAATACTTCATATCACAGGGGCAGCATTCCCACAGTACATACAGAGACCTCTGTCACACATGATTTGCATATACAAGCAAAAATTTGTGCTTAGATTTAGGCTTTACTGAATATTCTGCGCATAATTGCCAGGAGTTTTGACACCTTTATTTCCAATCAACGTTTTAAAATATTTCCTCTTGAGAACAAAAGCTCCTTTCATTTTCAAAGAAAATAATTTTTCACAATGTCTGGAAAATCATGTTCATAGATAAGTAAGCCAGAAATAAGCTCTGCAGTACCAGAGCCAGGAAGGCATCTTGGTGCTCCCATGAATATAGGAATGTAGACACTTGGTCTATTGGAGCCCAATCTTTTGAATCCAACCATCTTTCAGAGAAAGGTTTTAAATTTCAGCTCTCAGTTACATCATAAAACAGACTTTTAAAAAATATAAGGGAAAGGCGATCTGTTGATAACTCTGGAACTGTAGTGCCTTTGCAAGCATTTTCTACTAGCTCAATTTAAATCTAACTTATCTAGCTGTTTACTGCACGATGTTCAGTTCTGTAGATACACCCTAAGATGTGCAGCCTGCACTAAACTAGTGCCAGCTCACAGGAGGGGAAAATCGGGATGCCTCTTTGTGCTCATCTTTCTGTTGCAGGTGATAGAAGGTAGCTGCAGAGGGGTCTGGCAGGCTGCTATGGGTCTAGCCCATACACTTGAAATTAGCAGATAATTTATGTTTATTGATTCTCTAGACCATTACATCAGTTTTATTTCACTGTAACTTGCCAACACTACTACACATTATTATGAACCTCTTACCAATGAAATGTCAGTGTAAGTCTCTATTTTTAGATCATTTGGTCTCAAATTTTCAATTCCTTTGAAGTTTTATAAGCCTAATTTCCATCTCATAGTGAGCAGTGGAATTTATGAAATCAGAAGTCCCTGTTGTGAAAACAGTGTGGCTACACCTCTGTGAAAGGGAAAAATAAGACCATTCTTTCAAAAAAGACATTTTATTATGTTTGCTACATGGCAGTTACCAATAAACTTGCTTACTGAGACTATACCCCATCTGATTTTGAATTGCAGCTAAACTGTAAGTCCATGTCTGTAACAAGGTAAAATAAATATAAATGAGAAAAACTCACTCCTCTGGAACCACGGGCATTTCGAGAAGAAGGTTAATTTTAACAGGGTACGATACTTCATAATTACATAGGCTTCTGTTGTTTTGTTGTTTTTTTTTAAAAATCAATGTTATGTTATTGTTTCTGAAAAGTTCTTGCTGATGGGCTGCCCAGAAGGAACCACCCATCTTGTGTCTCTCTTATTGCATGGCTCTCCCTGCGGATCTCAGTTCCTTTCTTGGGAGTGATATGTTCTTCTGTTTCCTTTTACTGGTATTTAAAGACCTTAGTTGTTTCATGATGAATTCTCCTTCGTTGACTGGTTCTAGATATCCCACAATTCTTTCAGCAAACTATGAAAAAGATCTCTGCCAAAATTTCTAATTTTTCACGGGCTTTATTCTATGCCAAGCTTAAAAAACAATGAAGACCATCATTCTAATGTTCACTGACCCGTCCTATAGTATTTCATAAAGGACATTCATCCGCAAATTATGAATGTTATCTTGGGATTTGCTACACAGTGCTCCAGAACACTGAGCTAAGCCTTGAGCATTTCTGATTGGATTAACGACAAAATACAGCCTGAGGCAAGTGAGTTTGACACTATTGGGAACTCCAGGTCAAAGTCTGCAGTGTAAATTATCCATTGAGCGTAAATTTGATCTGAAAATGCAAAAACCGTTGCAAGTAATGAAACAGTGTAGGACCTGTTAATTTGGTTTCCATCGCACATGCAAAAGTGTGTAATACAAGTGCAGGAAAGACAGAGAAATGGAGCAGTGTGACAAGCAACTTAAAATGAAAGTGTAAGGAAACAAGGCTCCTTCTTCCCTGTTCAGCCAGTCAGGGTAAGGACACCCTGCTCTGGTTCGTTTGAGGTAATAGGAACAGCAGCTCAAAGTTGTTAGTCCTGAGGCTTCTCACATCTCCAGGATGCTTGCATATTCCCAACTGCTTTTAATTCGGCACACCATCAGCATCTTCATTACAGATGTGGTTTGAAATGTTAGGAAATGAGACTTTGCCATAAAACTTTGCTTCCTTGACTGGGGACCTTGCTAGGAAGCAGCACGATGTCATTTTGTTCTTGTCCATTTACGTCTTGTTTTTCATATCACCATGACTCCCATTCTAAAAACTCAATGTTCCTTCCTTCTTGTGTCGACTCCGAGTGACATGTGAGTATGTG